TAATCAATTCAGGCAATGAACCTGGGCATTTGATACTAAGAAATGAACTCCAGTACAATCCTGTTGTATGTGTTATGTAATAGGGTCAATACCGAGAAATAAAACTAAAACCAAGAAAGCTTTGTTGTTGTTATGTATATGTGTGTGAGTTTCTTGCTATGTGTGTTAATACAGGTAAATATGACACATGTACTGTTTGAACAAATGTGAAGGTTATGAAAAAAAGAAGAAAAAATTACTGAGTCATCCTAGATCAGTGCAAACAGGTAATACTGCTGACTTCAGAAACACTCTAAGATACACATACAAAAACACACACACACACACACTCAGACACAAACGTACTCAGGGCCAAGGTTCAGCAGGGTGTACCCCATTAAGATAGCCTTAGTTAAAGTGTGACCGGACACTACTGTACACTTTATGCGGTTAGCGTTTAAAGCGGCAGGATATATACAGGCAGGAGGAACAACACACCACAACACATCATCTGTAAGCCATGAGGGTCATCAACATGGTATGATTGGCTGAATACATACAGAGGATATGCTTTCCATTTTATCACTACTTTTTAGAATATATTTAATGACCCTCTTCTTACTTTTACTCATTTACTACTTCATATTATGTTGAAAGCATGTGTGTTTTTTCTATTTTTGTAAAACCTGAAAATGTTTCCAGCTCTCTGTATCTCTGCTCTCAGGGTCCAGATCCGTCCCTGGCATATCGGCCGAATTTGAAGACAAATGAAACCAAAGAGAAGGAAGGCTACAGAAACTTTGAGGTAAGCATCTACATCTCCCCTTGAGATCATGATAGTTATTCAATACTGCATTCATTTATGGTCAAATGATCGAATTAAGAGGTGAGAACGATTATTTTGACATGCACGAAATGGGTGAATAAAACAAGAGGCTAAAAAGAGACAGAGATATTCAGTTGAGTCTGTTTGTATTAGCAGAGCATAATCCCTAATTTGCTCTGTTGGAGCTAAAACTAAATGTTGAACATTGATCATCAAAATCACTAAGAGCTGAATCTCCATTAATGAAGTAATGCAGAAATTGCCAACCAAAAAAATAATTGTATGTAAATGTACTGAAAAACTGTTTAATAAACCGAGATAGTGAAAATGTTATTGTGTGTGTGTGTGTGTGTGTGTGTGTGTGTGTGTGTGTGTGTGTGTGTGTGTGTGTGTGTGTGTGTGTGTGTGTGTGTGTGTGTGTGTGTGTGTGTGTGTGTGTGTGTGTGTGTGTGTGTGTGTGTGTGTGTGTGTGTATGTGTGTGTGTGTTTCAGAGTGGAGATCTAATTGATCGTGTGTTCAACACATATAAGCTGATGCACACTCATCAGACGGTGGACTTTGTTAATCAAATGGTGAGTAAATCAGGAGCAAAAACAGAAGTTGTAACGTTGCCGCAATTTTTTCTCTCTGTCAAAAATCAGTAATGAACTGAAGTGTACTGATTTTGTATTTTGTGCAATTCTGTTATGACTTATTGATCTTATCAGACTAAGCAAACAAGGGTCAACTCTGGGGACTGCGTTGTGCTTCCACTTATTGATTTAACTTCTGCATTTCATACAGTCGACCATGACATCCTGATCTCTCGCTTGGAGAAGTGGGTGGGCATTGCGGGGAAAGCCCTGGAATGGTTCAGGTCATATCTGAAGGACAGAACTTTCTTTGTCAGCCTTGGTGACTCCGAGTCATCCTCTGCTCCACTCCTGTATGGGGTCCCACAGGGCTCAGTATTAGGCCCCCTGCTATTCTCCCTCTATTTGCTCCCTCTTGGGTCCATATTTAGAAAGCACGGCATTGCATTGATTATTTATTTATTTATTTATTATTGTGATGCTATGAACTATTTATAGTGTAAAATTGGAATGATCCACATCTGTGCTCCCTGGTGTATCTGTATGTTTTCTTCATGTATGTTCCTGCCTGTGTACATGACATAAGCTGCTGCTCATAACCAATTTGCCCTTGCGGGATTAATAAAGTTGTTGATTGATTCCATTGCTATGCTGATGATAGCCAGATGTATGTCCCACTAAAAAAGAAGGAGGGTTACTCAATTAGTCCACTGCTAAAGTGTCTAGAGGACATAAAGGCCTGGATGGCGTGCAATTTCCTAAAACTAAATGAAGGAAAAATAGAAGTAATGGTTTTTGGTAGCCACCACTGGCACCACTTCTGTAGAGCTGGGTTCCCTGGCTCAGTACACCAAGCCCACTGTGGCATTAAAATGGACCGTGAACTAAAACTTGAGAGTCAGATTAAATCTGTGGTAAAAACAAGCTTTTATCACCTGAGGCAGCTAGCCAAAGTAAAACCTTTTCTCTCCAGACAGCAGTTTGAGACAGTAATCCACGCCTTTGTCACCACTCGGCTGGATTACTGTAACTCTCTCTACATGGGGGTCAGTGGGTCCTCCCTCGCTCGTCTGCAGCTGGTGCAAAATGCCGCAGCAAGGCTTTTAACTGGCACACGGAAATATGATCACATTTCCCCCATTTTGGCTTCGCTCCACTGGCTGCCAATACATTTTAGGATTCATTTCAAAATCCTTTATGTACTTTTAAATCCCTAAATGGCATGACCCCACCATATCTTTGTGAGCTGCTACACCCTTACACGCCCAACCGCCCTCTCAGTTCAGCGGATCAACTGCTCCTGAATGTGCCCAGAACCAAGTCAAAGCTCAGAGGGGACCGTTGCTTCTCTATAGCGGCTCCCACACTGTGGAACGATCTGCCCCTGCACATCAGACACTGCCTGCTTTTAAATCGCTTCTTAAAACCCACCTCTTCTCCTTAGCGTATTAACATCTTTTAGAGCGTTGCTTTTATTGCTTTTACTAGTCTATTGTTTTTACTTGTACTTGTTTTATGGTGAGTGAGCTGAGCTGTTTGTTTTGTTTATTTGCCTGTACAGCACTTTGGTCTGGAGGTTTAAAGTGCTTTATAAATAAAGCTGTATTGTATTGTATTCTCTGGTTGCACATGGACTCTAGCTGTTTTAATAAACGTAAACTATCTACAGAAGCTTTTTATAACATATCATTTGAAAATTCATTGGGATAATACTCAAATAAAACTAAATAAATATAAAGCTTTTTCAAAATGTTTATTTTAGGTTCTCTAGTAGTAGTTGGAGAAACTGAACCTCTGCAGCACTATTATCACTCGTACCGTTTTGCAGAACTCTGTGTGGACGGGCTGCAGCCACACTAAGCTGGGGATGATGGACGCCATCATGTCTCTGGACCAGCTGGTGGACGAGTCTGATCCTGATGTGGATTTCCCCAACTCCTACCACGCCTTCCAGACTGCTGAGGGCATCCGTCAGGCACACCCAGACAACGGTACCATACTGAGAGAGAAGCAGAAATACACAGACTGTGTACAAAAACATACTTGATAACTGTATTCACTGTCTCTCCCCAGACTGGTTCCATTTGGTGGGTCTGATCCATGATGTTGGGAAGACAATGGCTCTTTGGGATGTTCCTCAGGTAGACACATGGTCTGGTATATCATTTCCAACTCTGAACAACCGCACTGCTAAACCAGAGTTTATCTCGTACCTTAATGTCATCTTTTAAGTTATGTCATTTTTCCAAGAAATGTTCTGTCTTCCCAAAAACTAAAATTCTTTCTGTGACGGGTCTTCAATTTTTTTTTCTCCACAAAGCAGCTTGTCATTATTACGAAATCCCTTGACCTTATCTACATGTTTTATAAAATATACATCGAACCTAATGAATCTTAATTTCATACTTTGCGTGTGTGTGCTCTCCAGTGGGCGGTAGTAGGCGACACCTTCCCAGTGGGCTGCCAGTATCAAAACTCCATTGTGTTCAGGGACAACAGCTTCATGGATAACCCAGATGAGAAGAATTCTCGCTACAAGTTAGTATTGTCATCTCACATCATCAGTCTGCACATTGTCTACCCCTGAAGCCAAGGATGTGTATTTTAAGTTTCCCATACTTTTGCAACACTTTCTGTGCCAGGTTTTTGAGACCTCTGTTTGGTTGCCTTTAAACTTTATGTGTAGTCCATAGTCTTTCCAAAACACAATGTTTTGTATTTATCTGCAATAACGACCAACATCAATCCAACTTGTAGTTCTACAATTATTGACGTCACCTAAAGACTTGTTGTTGGAAGTAATGGGAATTCTTCTGTTAAGTAATGACTTTTTTTTAAAACTATTTAGTACTGAGTTCGGGATCTATGAGCCAAACTGTGGCCTCGACAAAGTCCACATGTCCTGGGGCCATGATGGTTAGAGACACTAACACACAAAACAAACATCTACTAGAACATTTAACAGAAGTCATTGAAGTTCTTCAATATTGTTTATGATCTCTTGCATTGTTGTCTTCAGAATATCTCTACAGAGTTTTGAGGTTCAATAACTGCTCCATCCCAGAGGAGGTCAGTATATTATAACATTAAATTATTGTTTAAGTTATGTTTTGGGGAATTAAACAATGAAAGCAGACAGAAAGGGTGCAAATATTTTCTCACCTCATCAGCAGTGATACTGTTTTTCTGTCTTCCTGCAGGGGTTGTACATGATTCGCTTCCATTCATTCTACCCCTGGCACTCCCACGGAGACTACATGCACCTGTGCAACGAGAAAGACCTGCGCTTGCTGCCCTGGGTCCAAGAGTTCAAGTGAGCATCTTCCTTTGTCCTGTGCATGTTATCCTGTTCATTGCTCCGACCTGAAGCGGCATCTTCTATCCTCTCCACAGTAAATTTGACCTTTACACAAAGACCACGGAGCTGCCCGACGTCGACAAGCTGAAGCCGTACTACCAGTCTCTGATCGACAAGTACTGCCCTGGAATACTGAAGTGGTGAAACAGACGGCATTGAATTAAACAGCAGCACTATATAGAAACAGAAAGTGATACAAATGATAAGTATATTTATAAAACTGATGTTTGCATTTTTCAAATAAATATGTACAGAATTATTTTATTTTTTTAATTATTCTTTAATATGTAATAAAAAAACATTTAAAAACAAACCACATCAATTTGTCTGGGGATTCATTTCATATCTTGATACATTTGAGGAATTTATATATCTGGGGAATAAAAAAAGGAAAAGTGGAGTGTAGTTGATAGAGCAAAAGATCACAGTAACAAACAAATAACACCTGCAAACACACACCTGAATTAACATACAAGTGCAACAACACACACAGAGTAACATGAGCAACCATTACTCTCTTAATGAGTGGAACAGAAGACTGCTTATATTTACATTTTTATAGTTCTCTTTTCTTTCAAAAATATAAACATCTTGATCTGCTGAATTAAGTGATTGTGAACAGACTGATATAAGGAACATGAAAAGCAGTAAGGTGTAGATGGGAGATTTGTTTTATAATTGGCTGATCAGGAATGACAAATATACACATATACCTTCTTTGGTCATTTTCGTAACATTTATAAAAGGCAGACGGTGATAACAGTTCATCATGGGATAAGCATCTTCTTTTTAAAACTTCCTCTTTTAAGGATCTCCTCTGTTTCCATCCCGTCTTCCTCTTCTTTGTCGTCCCCAACAGGGTATTTCTCCTCTCCTTCGCAGTCCTCCACCTCATCTTCACAGTCCCCTCCATCTTCCTCTTCTTCTTCCTCCTCCTCTTCCTCCTCTTCTGCTTCCTGCTCTTCATCTGACTTCCCATCCGTGTCTGGAGCGCTGTCAGGTGCATTTGCTGTCTGATCGGTCGTAGCTTCCTTCTGAGTGCCTGCTGTTCTTTCTGTGTGTTTGTTCCTGCTCTGCAGTCTGTGGAGCAGACAGAGGGTGGCGCTGCAGGCGATGAGGGTCCAGATGAGCACGGGGGCAGGAACTCCTCTGACCTGAGAGCGCACCCACCGCACCGCCTTGGCCACAGGGGTGTTAGGCAAAGGACGCGGAGGAGATTTGTCCTACAGCCAAAAGAGAAGAATATTAATAAGAGTTCAAAAGATTTAAGACAGGGAATGTAACATGCACTGCCCACTAGGGCTGCACATTTAATTCCAATTTAAATTAAATCGCAATATGGACCAGTAAAATAATCAAATGGCAGAAAGCACAATGTTTGGTAAAACGTAGAACATGTGTAAAAATACCATTTTAAATTAAGTTTGATGTAATCCAAGCCTACAAATCATATTAAACAAACTTATTTGTTTGGCACAGATCTCCATTAAAAAGTCACTCCATAAAATTTTAATATATATATTCCATGATAATGAGAAATATGATCAATTACTCCATTATTTTGAATCATATCTTAATTGCAATGTCAGTCTAAATAAATGCTATTAGTAATTATTTCCTAAAATGTGCAACCCTACAACTGACAAACATTTTTGTTTTCCATATTACTAAAAATATGTTTTTGAGATACATTTACCTTGAGTCCATACTGAGTGAGCATGGTTTCCAGGAAGGTGTTGCCCAAGTGCACCGTGGGATAGAATTCCTCATCATAGACCCGCCTCCACCAACGCTCTGGGTAGGATCTGCCAACAAAGAGCAGCCAAAGAAAGTAAATATCCTGAGGTTTTCAGGAAGTATTCGCACAGTAAAAGTATAAATAAATATATGAATAACTCTTTAATGAATAACGGTTTAGAATAACTAAAATTGCCTACTCCCTTAATAAAAAATAATTTGTTAAACAATGTTTATTGAGTTTGAGTTTGGCAGTAACGTTTTAATGTGTGCTTTCAGCATGTCATTTCAGAGCTGAAAACAATCAAGATTTCTTCAGAGAGCAAGAGAGAGCGAGAGAGAGAGCACTGACCCATCAGCCTTGGGTTCAGTAAACCAGTATCTGTAGCGGTGCGCTCGGAGGTAGGCGGGGGGGCTCCTGGTGGAACGGATACTGTGACACGTCCGTCTGGATCAACTCTATCACTGCACAACAGAAAACAAAGCTTTGAGATCAGCTTGTTCCTGAAAATCAACAAACACTGCCTTCATTGTATTGCTAATTTAACATTGAATCATTTAGAGAAGAGAACATTTTCTACACTGTGCACATGTAGTCCTGGTCCAACAACATTGTAACAAAGTTGGACTGTGTCCCACACTAACAACTCTAAGATGTACTGTCATTTTATGAAAAATAGTTACTGTTGACTTTTATTCAGATGTCATCAAAGTAAAGATGCCGCAGAAGTGTGTGTATTTCCGTCTGCAGTCTTTCGTGTTAACACAACTTGGGTGCAAAGAGATGTTTCAAACATTTTTACAAATGGTAAGAAACATCTTTTTGAATGAACGCTGGCAAGGCATTAGTGTGAGCACAGCGATGCAAAGATCCAGGGCTGGATTCACTTCTTATCACAACAGTGATGTGATCTCCTATTATGTGTTGTACAAAAATGTAAGCATTCAACTTTTAACCCAAAAAAAGCCAAGCCAGCCGTGTTGTTTTTTGCCCATCACCCAATCAGTTGTATTTCCCTTTAAGGAAATCAAAGAATGATAGGAAACAGAGAATAACAGCATACCATCTCTCTTGCCCTGCAGCAAGCGGTACATGAGGCTGGTGAACCATGGTGCCTGTGTTTGATCCCCGAGGGCAGCAAACCACATCTGCCAGTCCAACCGCGGCTGGTGAGGAGTCACCACAGCTGGGGGGGCACTTAGGTTGCCTGGCTTGTACATAAACTCAATCTCCTGAAAAGAAAAGGAACATACTGATAGGAATAACACTTGCTGTCCAGTACTGCCTCAATGGTTATACTATACAGTTACAGATTGTGAAAACTGCAGGCCTCTCATACTCGTTAAATAAGAGAAAAAAGCAGAGCAGGCCTGTCATCATTAGGCAAACTATTATCTCAATGAATGGTATGGTCTAAACATTTTTTCATAAAATAGAAAAATGTCCATTGAAGCTTCTTGAAGTCCAACATCTCAATCCAAAACCCAAAGATATTTACCTATATACGAATTAAACAAAAGGAAAGCAGGAAGTCTACATATTTGAGAGGCTGAAAACAGCATTCCTGCCATTTTTGCATGAAAAAAAAATTGTTTTAAAATAAATTATTTAAACAATTAAAAAAATAGTTTTTTATTATGATTATTTTACTTTTAATTGCCTAATTGATTCGTTGTCGATCAACTCTGGACATCCTTAACAGCCATATTTAGATCCTATTAAAACCATCGCCATTGAGAACTTCTTCCTCTCACCGTCCAGGAGACTGCGTCGTTGCTTCCCTCGATGACGACCTCCGGCCGCCCGCTGACCCCGGTCATCCTTCTGAAAAGGCCGTAAGAGTTAACCAGCTGGAAGCGATCCACCAGGTCGTAGGCCCGACGCACCCCGGGCCACAGCTTGCCGTGAGAGTCGTACTCTATATAGCTGTATGGCACCTGGGACAGAGAAAAAAAGTCAACATAAGTAGTGACAGCAACCAGGTTGGAAGGAATAAGGGCTGCACAATACATTGTAATATGGACAAGTGCGATAATCAAATGCCAGGAAGCACAACACACATTTGGTGGATAAATACACTATTAAAATTGATTTTTTTCATTTTCTTATGACATGAATTTCCACCATTATGCGCTTTCACACCAAGTACTTTGCCGTGCTTAGTTCCCAGTACTTGTTCATCAGAACTCTGATGAACTAAAGAGAAGATCGCGTTCACACACGGAATAAGTCCCTGAGGGAGGATTAGGCAAATGAAGCCGCTGACGTCACTTCTTCTTCTTCTGCTTTGGGTTTACTGGCAGGCCGCAAACAACTTCACGGCGTATACTGCCACCCGAAGTCCCCGGCCGGAAGTCCCCAGAGTTGGGGATTGGCTTCAGTAGAAGCTGCTGGGAGTCCCAGCTGCTTCTACTGAAGCCTTCCGAGTAAATCGCCAGACCGCCGACACCTCCTCATCTCCACCGCTCCAATGTTTTTTTTTGTGTTGCCATAAGTTAGTCTCTCTTCGTTGGTGCACTGGGCTAATGCTAATAATGCTAATGCCAGCAAATACAATGGCGGCTTCACAAAACTTTTCCGAGTTTTACGGGCCGTGGTTTGCAATTCGCCCAGCCAATCAGAAATGGGAACCTTTTTCTCCCATGAAAGTACCTGCTCTCTAGAAGGGACTAAAAAGGGGGTGAAAAGGTTCTCATGAACTAAGTTCTAGTTCCGGATTTTTTTGGTGTGAACGCAACATTTCAAGAACTATCGGAACTATACTGGGAAAAGTACTCCGGTGTGAAAGCGCCTATTGATGAGTTTCCAACAACACCCACCAGACTGACGGTGAACATAGCTGCAGTGGCAGCAGCAAACACAGACCACTGCAGAGTTCCCCAAAACCTCTTCAGGAAACCGGAGACACATGCACACCTGGAAAAACAAATGAATTGGCTATGTTATATTTGGTCAATATGCAATATAATCAAGAATATATATACACACAAAGAGTCCTACCTGAACATGGCTGTGACCATCTCCCAGGTGAGAGAGAGGACACCGATCCAGATAAAGGGGATGGTGACCGTCTGCAGAAACTGGTTAAACTGGTGGTATGTGAAAGCTGCAAGGACAAGAGTATTAACAAAAGACAGCAGAATTAAATGAATTACTCCTATTGAAAATGACACCTACCTGTCTTGGAGGTGATGCCCTTCTTTGTTGAGTCCAACTTCAGGTCAAAGCATAGAACTGATCCGAAGATCATGAGAGACCAGACTGCCAGCTCCAGCAGGTAACACAGCCAGGAACACAGCCAGGAACACAGCCTGGAGTCTGAGCAGATCAAAGAGAGAGCGTGAGGAAGCTGTGGTGAGAGAACTTTGGCAGAATGGATAAACAACTAATGATATGAGCCGTTATGTTTATCATACCATTTTTGCTGATCTTGTCTGCCTTGCGTAGCCAGAAGTTTACATGCTGGTCGTCCAGCAGCGACAGACAGAGAGCCAAAGTCAGCAGGTTGAAGAAATTGTAGTTGCCGGTCAAAATGATGAGCACTTGGAGCAACACCTTCAAAAGAAAAAAGAAATCCAGATCAATGAATAATTTATTCTGCAGCACAAACCAAGCAGCTACTTGACTATATTGAGTACAATATATTTTAATAAAGCACAATGCTTTAGAGGCAAACTGACGCTCATTTCAGATTTCAGTTTGTGATAGCACACCCTTTTTCACCTACCTGCAAGTAAAAAGCCCCGATCCGGAGTCTGCGCTGAGGACTGAAGAAGAGCAGCGGTACAACGATCTCTATGACGAAGGTCCCCACCACACTCAGCTTCTGCCACCACACTGGCAGCTGGTGGGCAAACCAGGCCAGCGAGGTGGGGAGACACTGCGTCTCGTAGTGATACGTCAGAGCTGCTCAACACACACAAACAAAAACTCTTTACCTGAGAAAAAAACAATGCTGTATCATTTGAACGCGCTGTAGTCAGTTTTAAATCGGAAAAAGTCCAAATATAGTTTGCAAATTGTCGTAATATCGTCTGGAGATGCAATGATTAGTCAAAAAAACTGACGAGACAGACAGATTGACAGAAAAGTATATCGCCAAATATTAGGATATTTGATTATTATGCATAAAATGCTGTTTCCACCCAATCAAAGATGAAGATGTCCTTATTAATCTCAATATTTTTCATATTAAACTGAAAATCTTTGGATTTAGTACTGGAAAAACAAGACATTTATATCCTTAGAGTTGGAAAACTTTTATGAATGTTTATCACAATTTGTTGTCATTGTTTAGACCAGATTATTCATCAATTAATCGTTTGTCGCAGTTCCAATACCCTCTACACATACTCGCTACAATGAAGTACAACAAAAAACAGACCCTCACTCCATCAGACTCTTATACATACCGGTAAGGCCCCACCATGTTGGGCAGCGGGACATGAGCTTCACCACACCAGAGGCAAACATGAGCCTGAACAGCAGCCAACGGGTCAGCCAGAAGGTCAGGTGGTCGTGCTCTCTGACCCCTCGCGACCCTCTGAGTAACGTTAGTGGAGCCACAAGGATACAGAGGAACCCTGTCTCCAGGAGCAAGTTGTCCCTGGACGGTGAGAAGGATAAATTATTATATTATTGGAGATATAGAGGCAATAGTTGTTGTCATTCTAGTCTGTATACAGTATTGTTGAACAGCAGCAGAAGCATGTTAATAGTGGACTGAGGATGGCGTACACTTAACGGTAAACCGCTAAATCTTTCTTGGGATCTCTTTAGCCAACTGCTACTCAGAACACTATTGTGTTAATAACCAAAAAATAAATATTGAGTTAAGTAAATCAAGTTACTAAATCGGGATATCTTTAACAGAGTGCAGGCAAAAATGTAACTAGAAACAGACCTGAAAACGTGTGTAATAAGATAATAGTTATAACATTAAGGATAACTTTATAACATTTTGGATTATGTCTTAATTCAGCAAATAAATAAAAAAAGTCAGTTACAAGAGCAAAGTCTTCTATGTGGTTTTTTATTGGATAAGCTGTTAATGCTGAATGTGCAACATTGACTTTATTCTCATTGAAAAACTTTTTGTAAACTTAGAAAGAAAGAGATCATATATATTTGTGGCTGCATCAATTTCTTCAAAGATTGAATTTAAATAATCCAAAAGTAAATCCAGAAGTATTGAGATATCATTCCTTTTTTGTTTTGTATTAAATAATGCTTCTAATAAAACAAAATGACTTGTAATATGTATTCTGAAATGACTACATTTCAAAGTAATCCATCCAAACTGTCTATAAATCATCACTCACCATTGAAAGTAGAGAAAAACCTGGCCCACCTGAAATGAGAAACAGAAGTGACAGATGAAAGAGAGAACACCTTGACAGGTGCATGTGAAAGAAGACTGGGTGCCGTTAACGCTGTAAACTCACCTGGTACATGGACAGGTACAGGGCCCAAAGGCAGAAAAACACCACGCTGTCTCGCAGAGACTCCACCAGCGTTGCAGCGAAGCTCAGTGCGGCCCCCAGAAGACACAGCAGCTCCATGGCGGTGTGAGTGTCCACGCCGAGCTGAGGGCCAAACCACAGCAGGCTGGGGGAAGACAGCAGCTGCTCCCAGAGAGACTTACCGCTGTATTTTAGCTGCCAGCGCGCAGGCAGCAGCCCTTCATTACCATAGAGACCTAGCAATAAACATGGGAAGCAACAATTAAATCAACAGCTTAGGAATTTAAACCATAGTGATCCCTTTTGCTTTTTAAGGAGGAACTGCATTTGTTCACTCATTCATTTGCAGAGGTGGGAGAAATACTCAGATATTGTAAAAGTATCATAGTGTAGGAATACTCTGTTACAAGTAAAAGTCCTGCATTCAAAAGGTTACTCAAGTAAAAGTAGAAAAGTATTAGCATCAAAATATACCTAAAGTACCAAAAGTAAAAGTACTCATTCTGCAGTGGGTCCATTTCACAATAATTGTCAATATAATAATAATAATATTGTCATACTGATATTTTGTACAAACTGTAAAGTCCACTGAGACAAATGTAACATTTGTGATATTGGGCTATATAAATAAACATTGATTGATTGATTGATTGATAATAATGTGTTTTGATGCTAATTTGTTTTTGTATTTGTTAAATAAACCTTCTTGTATCTTTTAGAAAATCCATCAGTACTACAGACTATAATCATGATCAATGCCTGCACGGTACAGACAAGCTAGTAACAGTGATTCCCGCAGAAATGAAATATACTTTGGGGGGAACGACTCGGGGTGGGGTGCGTGAAAAAAAATCTCCTCCGAAATCTCTCAAAAATTTAGGAGCGGGGCTAGTCCTGGTGGGCTACCCAGGCTGAGTGACAAGGTGGCATCCAGGAAACTCAAATTTGCAGGTCACTGCCATCGACACCAGGAACTTCCAGCTGGCAAGTTAGTAGGCCTACTCTGGGAGCCAACACACGGGCACCGACCAAGAGGGCGCCACACGCCAACATACGTGGAGGTGCTGAGGAAGGATGTGGGGGTGGAAAGCTCCACAGAGCTGGCCGGGTGTATGGAGGACCGTGAGGATTGGCGAACCCGTTGGCAAACTCGTCTAAGGACGACCTAGTAGTAGTAGTCCTTGATTGGCTCAAGTTCACACCTTTTTAGGGGCGGGGCTAGTGATGTTGTCCCGGGGATGCTTAGGAGTTGATAAAGGAGATAATCCCACTGACGTCATCATTTGATTCCAAAAGTGGGTCTGGACTCGCCCCATAGAGGCTGTTTACCCAAAGTATAATTTATGGGTGGCTCGCCCCAAAGTATAATTTATGGTTTTTTAAGTTTTTTTTACTCACTGAGCACTCATTGCCACCAATGCAAATGCAAATGAGTGCTCACTGAGTAAAAAAAATTAAAAAAACACACAAATTATACTTTGGGGGGAGCCATTATACTTTGGGGGCCCCCCAAAGTATTAACATGCTGTGGGAATCACTGAGTAATGTATAATAGATAATATTAACAGTTTTATTTACATACCACTTTTCAAGCTTCAGAATTAATGCTTCCCAGGTTAAAGAATTACATAATAATTATTATAAAACAGACAGCATAAAAGCATGTAATGTATTTATAAACAATAGACTGCTTTCTACATGCAAGTGTGTTTACAACCCAAATAAAATTACAAAAGATCAAATGTACATTTCTTTTAATTCATATATTTATTCCTGTAATTGTTATTAATTAATTAAAAATCATGCACCGGAAAATGATGTTGACACTAATGTTGACTTAATGCAGGTGTATGCGTCTCAACTCTATCGTCTCAACTCTATGGTCTCAACACAGGGGCGAGGGCGAGGTCTTCTGGACTTCTGCTGGGCTACTTATAAGGGCGTCATAAAACAGCGGGTGTGTGGTTACTGTAAAACTTTACATTAGTGCGTGTGTGCGTTTTCACAGCCTTTTTGCAGTCTCTCTGCAGATGTTAGCTCGTAAAGTTGGCAAGGAGTAGGAAACGCTTTCTGACTACAGCCAACTGAAACGTCCTCCTCTCCAAGAGAATACAAGTTGCCAGCTGAGCTAACAGGCTAACACAGACAGTAGTAGTAAGTTAGGAGAGCTAGCTTCCACACAGGCTGCAGAGTAGTGGGTCTCACCTGGTATTTGCACGTAGAGGGATACAAAGGCAGCCAGATAGATGACCGCCATGCTCCAGAGGAACATGCGCCGTGGCTGGATTATTCCCCCCATGTCTAGGCCGGGCTGCTGGAGGAGGAGAGCCGCTGCTTCAGGGCCGAGTTACCGCTGTCTGCTCCTGGAGCAGGAGGGGTGGAGGGCAGCAGGATTTGTTAATGTAGCCCGGGGACAGGGACACGTAGCGGGGAGCGATTCACACACACAGCCAGAGGATGTCGCTACCGCTGCTTTCAACAACTCTATGCTGCGTTCATGAGCATGGGATAAAAGATGTGCAGTTTAATCTTGTGTCAGGGATGGTTTATTATTTCATACTAGCAATTTGCTTTTGTGCATATTTTTGTATACGCACTGGACTCCTGAACAGGTGGAACATTCCAGGTCATACCCTCTATATTTCAGTTTTTTAATTTGATTATGGAATTATTCTTGTTTTTGTTCATATAGGCTACAATATTTATCAGCAAATGCACCAAAAAAATGTTAAACCTAGTTCATTTAAAGCATTTAAACCATATATTTAAACCTCCAAAGAGATGTGTTGTATGTAGTAAAACCATAGTCTGTAAAGGTAAAACTAGTAGGGGATTTTGTGATTTTGTTAGGACTTTACATTGTGACAGGGAAGTTATTTATTTGTTATCTTTTTTGGGCGTTGCACTTTGTAGACTGTCCCTGCGCACGGGGCTGCAGATATTGTTGTCCAGCTCGGAGGACGGCGTGTATCGACTTGTTTTCATAGAAATCACCGCAAGCTCACGACGCTGAAGTTGGCTTCCGATTCAGAGCATCCGATTCGGCAGTTAAGGGGAAAGTTAAGGGACATTTAATTTACAGCGCTGAGCGAACAATTCTCCGCGTTTGAACCTCTTAAATCGCTGCATAGCCGATTTATTTGGACTGGATTATCCCAGAGAGTCTAAATAACCCAGTTTGAGATTTGTGAAACCTTTATTCTATTTGTGAAAATACAAACAAGGGAGATTTCAGTGCTTTTTTCGCATGCTGACCACATTAGACCAGGTCCTGATCTGAAACCACTAGACCTACACTCATCAAATCGGGTAAGTATGGACAGCTAATTAAGGAAGAATAAAGTCTTTACTTCTCAAATGTATTGTAATTTTGTATTGCAAATAAAAATTCAACAGATAAGTAGGTATACTTATATAAACTTAATTTATTTACAGTTGCAGGCAAAACATTTCAACAGGAAATTAAATATAGTCTATAACTAGCATTGTTCAAGTTTACTTTAAGCAACAAGCTTTGCCTAATTACAGTATGTCATCTTGAGTACTAGGATTGCTTGGAATGTGAAAAACATTACAAGATTAGAAAATAACACTTTGGTAAAAATAATTGCTATTCATATTTTGCTTTAGGACAAAGCAGCAGAAGCTGTTCAAAGTGGATGAAAGACTGAAGGTTAGCCTTTTTCTTTATCTCATGAACCTGAATTCCTTTAACATCTTTTTCATTTTTTTGTTTGCTATGAAACAGTATTTAAGATACGAAAACTTTGTAGATAAAGAATTATCACCTAAATGAGGAGCATACACTTATTTTTATTTATTTATTCATTTGTTTAACAGGGACAGTGCACATTAATTAACATTCCTGTAAATGTGCCAGTTAGCCAAGAGTCTATTTTTCATCTGTTGTCCCTGGACAGATTTTATAAGTGAACCTAAAACAAATGTCATTTAAACAAGTAAATACAATCAAATTAAAACATGCAACATACATTACTGGAATACTTAAATAAATAAAAAGACAGAACAATAAAACAAAACAAAATAACATGTTGTGACGACCCCTCCCCCCTTCTGCCTGTCTGTGCTCCCTGCCTCCTCTGGCAGGTACTGGGAGTGTCGTCCTGTTTGTGCCCGCCCATCTAGAGGCAAAGCCTCAAGAAGGCTTGCCCAGCTGGGAGGTTCACTTTCTGATCCTGATCCTGGCCTGCTGCAGCAACCTCAGCCTTCCACCTGTGTTTGTATTTTCACAAATAGAATAAAGATTTCACAAATCTGAAACTGTGTTATAAAGAATCTTTAGACCCTCTGGAATAATCCAGTCCAGATTTGATGAGTCTAGGTATAGTGGTTTTAGATCAGGACCTGGGCTAATGTGGTCTAGATAAAAAAGCACTGAAATCTCCCTTGTTTGTATTTTCACAAATAGAATAAAGGTTTCACAAATCTCAAACTGTGTTATAAAGAATCTTTAGACCCTCTGGGATAATCCAGTCCAGATTTGATGAGTGTAGGTCTAGTGGTTTTAGATCAGGACCTGGGCTAATGTGGTCTACATGTAAAAAAAAAGCACTGAAATCTCACTTTTTGTATTTTCACAAATAGAATTAAGGTTTCACAAATCTGAAACTGTGTTATAAAGAATCTTTAGACCCTCTGGGATAATCCAGTCAGGATTTGATGAGTGTAGGTCTAGTGGTTTTAGATCAGGACCTGGTCTAATGTGGTGAAGATGCGAAAAAAAGCACTGAAATCTCCCTTTTTTTAATTTTCACAAATAGAATAAAGGTTTCACAAATCTCAAACTGGGTTATAAAGAATCTTTAGACTTTCTGGGATAATCCAGTCCAAATAAATCAGCTATGCAGCGATTTAAGAGGTTCAAACACGGAGGATTGTTCGCTCAGCGCTGTAAATTAAATGTCCCTTAACTTTCCCCTTAACTGCCGAATCGGATGCTTTGAATCGGAAGCCAACTTCAGCGTCGTGCAAGCTCTCTAGTAGCATTCCCCGTCCATCCCAAGGAACCTCTCTCCATTCCGACTCCCAACCAGAGGCAGATTTAGGGTTGTAGGAGAAGTTGTTGAGCGGACTGCGGTCAACTCAGCCGTCTCTCGCATTTGCTTGGTCAAATGAGCAGCGCTTCATTTTTGAGTGCGCGATTAATAGCGTCTTTACGGTAATCGCCGAGAAGCGGCCCTGATACAAGAGCTGATGTTATATTTCCTCAATCAATCAATGATATTTGATGAGGGATAAAATGATTTTTAGCCATACATTTTCAATAAAATTGGAACTGTTGGACTCACTACTTATAAGACTACTACCACAAATACCATGAAGTACTTTTACTGTGTACTATTTGAGTAATACCCTGTCAAACTCCCCTCCAGAGTACGATAATGTATGTTTTCTGCCATCTTTGATGAGAGATAAAATGATTTCTTGCCATAAATTCTCAATGAGAGTGGTACTGCTGGACAGAGTACTACTTGGACTACTGCCACAAGTACAATCGAGTACTTTTATCGTGTACTTTTGGAGTATTTCCACCACACTTTCCCTGTACAAGGCTCAGTCCCCATGATCAAAAAACGATCCCTGTATTATAGTCTGAGTACCAATGACCTCATATTATGTCTCTCATTAAAGTTACATCACCCATTATAACAATAGTCTTTCCTTTATACTCTTGTCTCTTCTCTTGACTGAATTACAATAGTCCTGTCTTTAACCAAATGTAAAGTCCTTCTTCTGCACCTTTTGAAGACCCCAAAACAGGCATTTGTACTGTATGCATGTGTTTGGAGAAATGACACAACAAATGGCCCAGATTTGTACTATAGACACTTGAAATCTTGTAGTGCATGACAAAATACTAATTGGCTTAGCCTTCCAGGTTATATAGGCTTTGTTTTGCAATATTTATTCAAAGGTCACTTCTTATTTAAAATCTTAAATTTCTGAGGATAAATACAAGCAATCATAATACTGCCTTCATCAAGAGTCATTGAAGCCCAATACGAATTGATCCTCCTATTAATACAGTTGACACGTGTTTTCAAAATGAAATTAAGGGATTATCTGTAATGAACATTATAAAATAAATCTTCATTCTGCTGTGTTTTATTTCAAAAGTGTTCAGAAAGATTAAATCAATGATATAGAAAGATCTTAAAATCAACATTATTATTAACTTAAACTAAAGTACATTTTAATAGCGTGCACAAATGTGTTAATTGCCATGCACCTGATGTTTGATAGTTTACGTTCAATTTCAGCTGTTTTGGGCAAAAATCTTATATTGACTCAACCATGTTTTATGTTGGGGACTGGGTTTGCTCTCTGTGTGACAAATAATGTATGTGCATGAACATGCGGTTGCTGTATGTCCTATATTTTTTTTAAAAGGCACCAGCTGGGGACTGGGACTTCAGACTTTCCCAAAAAGAAGGGGATGTGGTTGCTGTGAAATAGTTTTCATTTATATGCTCAATTTGATATATTTAAAATCTATATTTGAGATTTGTTTAACTAAGAAGTGACCGTTGAATAAATATTGCAAAAAAACCTATAGGCCTATCACATGGCAGCCAGTGTGAATTGTTTCCTACATTACAAGATTTCGAGTTTCTATAGTACAAATCTGGGCCATTTGTTGTTGAGTTCCTGAGCGATGATGGTGCCCAGGAAGCGGAAAGACTTCACAGCAGTGACTGGGGAGTCACACAGAGTGATGGGGGCGGGTGGGGCTGCGTTCTTCCTAAAGTCCACAGTCTTGAGAGCATTAAGCTCCAAGTGGTTATCCCTGTACCAGGTCTATAGCAGAAAACATACATTATTGTACTCTGGAGGGTAGTTTGACAGGGTATTACTCAAAAAGTACACGATAAAAGTACTTGATTGTACTTGTGGTCGTACTCCAAGTAGTACTCTGGCCAGCAGTACCACTTTCACTGAGAACTTATGGCAAAAAATCATTTTATCTCTCATCAAAGATGGCAGAAAACATACATTATTGTACTCTGGAGGGGAGTTTGACGGGGTATTACGATAAAAGTACACGATAAAAGTACTTGATTGTACTTGTGGTCGTACTCCAAGCAGTACTCTGTCCAGCAGTACCACTTTCACTGAGAACTTATGGCAACAAATAATTGTATCTCTCAAAAAGTACACGATAAAAGTACTTGATTGATATCTATGACCATGGCAACCATGCTCCGGGGTCTTCTTCGCTGCTTTTGGTGTATTTTGTGGCGGCAGCAGCGCCACTTACAGGCCTGGCATATGTACTGGTACTACAGCGTTTCCAGCGGTCTCGTGTGAACCGACACTTAAATGAATCGAATGAGTGTGAACGGAACTTTTTTTAAAACGTATACGGTGCGTAAACCAGAGTCCTGCATCGGGTCGGGTACCCGATGGGTGACCCGCAAAAACAGTGATTCGCGGGTAGTATTTTTTCAAACGTTTTTTTCCGGGTTCGGTTCTGGGTAAAACAAAGATGATGCGGGTCGGGTCGCGGGTGTTGCATAATAAATATATTACAAATAATAATAATGTAGTTTAATGTTTAAATCCTCAGACCTCTCCCCCGCGGACCGCGCATAATCATAACCTCTGCAGCGCATCAATCTGCTGCTGAGCGCGCCACATTCGAAATGGCTGAGGTGAAGCTCTCTAGCGGAGAGTACAGTAATGTAATTGGTATACATATTTTACTCACTTTTCAAAAATAATGATCAAACAGATGCATCTTGGTTTGACTGAGTTTATTGTGCAATACTTACCAGCCAAGCATGGCACTAAAAAAGTAATCTGCATGCTGCTAGTCAGGAACCAAAAGTATTTTAATATGTACATTCAAGTTTTAGACACAGATATCTGAAACTCATCACCGACAGTTTACAGTACCATTAATTTCTGTCACTGAGTCCAAACACATCATAAATTCATTGTACAGGCAAAATGAGCTGTAGGTTTCATACATGTTATGTTACAAAAATACTAAAATCTGATGTTAGAGAACATTTACACAGTTTTTTTTTATGTTGCACCTACACCATGCTTGTTTCCAGCATTAGACATAAATATAAAATCCGGACGGATCAGGATTATATATAGAACATGAGCAAAAGTAATAAAGATTGACAAAGGTATGTGAAATCTGACAGTGATCACATGATGCATCAAGAAGAGTTAGTTATACCAGAGCTACAAGTGATGGAAGAGTTGCTTCAGTCAGATTTAATTAACCAAAACTATCTCAAAGGCTTTCCCATATGAAACATCTCTGCTGCTCAGACCCAAAGTGCGACATGATTCCCTTAACCATTAACTCTCCCACTCCTGATGCGAGTAAATAAAAAAGGCATACACATGCCACTTGATTTGTCGATTTCAAAATGAAGCAATACAAAAATCTAATAGTTTTTATCAATAAAATAGTCACTGGAGTACACAGTAATGGCTGTTCTAAAGGGAAATGATTGCCCTTCAAAAATATGTGCATACACCAGAAACACTGGCCTGTTTTTGTTGATTTATTATAGATAACATCATTACTTGACACTTTCTGAAGACATTTAATTATCTGTAGGATGCTGCCTGTGAGCAATACTGTAACTGATTAAGAAGATTATCTATCAACACAATTCGTACAAAACCTAATTTGGACATGAGAACTGGACACCAATGAACACGTAGATAATTTTAACAAAATGGCATCAAATTGTTGTCTGTATTGTTTTTCACTTCAAATTTTCATTCTAGTGAGCAATTTTGAGGAATAGCTCCAGCTTTGTTGAAGTTGAAACACTTGCCTTGTTTGAAGGTCATTATGTGGCTGCTCTGAAATAAATAGATTGGCCTTTCAATTTGCAAGTTGCTCTAAAACAGAGCCCAACACAAATGACATCAATCAAATTAATTGATGGTTTACAACGGTGTATTTTTTCACGAGGCCATGACTTTCCCTGTGAGCTGTGGATGGACACATTAGTCATAGCTGCCTCACACGTCACTTCTGCCCAAACTCAAAGTAAATGCAGACACACTCGCTTTGGGTGTCACCAATATGGACGGATGTAATACATAGGCAAAATACAGAGGCATCCTTAGACTTCTGTTAAAAAAACCCTCACATTACTTAATTCCCAAAGAGATACATCAGTATCTGCAAATGCTGTCATGCTTGACACAGAGAAAAACACAGGCACCCTGCACTCCCATATGAATCCAGACTGCATTTTTTGAAGTGTGCGAGTACTTCTTTGTTGCCTTCGTCCAAACCTTTGGATCTTTTACAGAGTTTTAAGGCAGACATAAATTACTCATATTTGGACGGCTAGACTCAGAGGGCGTTTCTACTCAGATTGTGTGTCCTGCAAACAAGGTGAGGCTCAGTGTTTCACTGTCATGTAGTCACATCTGTTCCACTAGGGCAGATCTGTCCGATATTTGTGGTTGAGGGAGTTGGCTCCGGGTCCGTCTCCCTGACACAGATGACGGCATCCCCACTCACATTAATGAGGCACTGAGCCTTGAGGAAGAAAAAAGACAGGCAGATTAATCTATAAGAAGAACTGTGAGACCTGAGGATGCAGAGAGTTAGTCATTGTGCTTACATGTAGGCGTGTTACAATAATTACTTTTGTCCACAGCTCTGGTGTAGGAACATTTTGGGATTAAGTAGAATTAGAGAGAAATGTTCTTGTTGTTACTAAAATGCTAATATGTTCATCATTTGCAAAAAGAAAGAAGGTTCTAACCATTTAAAAACTGGAATGGTCGTGTTTGACCTGTAGTGTATGACCTAAGGACTTAATGATTCTTTATATCCATATGTGAAATGTTTTATATGAATGTCAGTTGAAATCTTGTTGACAGAGCTTGAGAGTCCATATTATTTATTGTTCTGATTGTGTGTTTTAAATTATATTTATTTATTTTGGATAATTTAATATCTTTTTCACAATCCAATTCCAATGACTGAATATTCTCAAGAGTTAAGTGGTTGTAAAACGGTGTATTTGCATGATTTAACTTTTTCATTATTATTATAATCAGTTTTTAAAATGACATTGTCTTGTTGGAATAATTAATAAGTAGTCATGACAGGCCTACACTAATGTATAGATGGAATGTAATAGGTAAATACGTCTGTGCGTGTGGGAGAGTACCTGGTTCTTGTTTGGATTTTCCATCAACATACACTCCTTCATGCTGTAGGACACCACTGCATTCCCACCCAAGGCTGCTACATGGGCTCGAACCATCGCAAACACCTCTGCTATGAATGAATGGAGGAAGCCACTGACACCACCTTCCTGCAGAGGACAAACAAACACACATATCAGGGATGTCTACACTTTGAACAAAGATCCTGGGGCTTTTGCATGTGTAGCTCGTCTTTGCAGTCATACCTCCCGTAATGATGTTGTCTCTCTTATGAAAAACATGTTGATGATCCCAAGGTATTTGATGATGCGTGTCCCAGGGAGGAAAGAGAGCGGCGTCATCTTCACCACGGCGACCGAACTGCTCCCGAACGAGCGTGTGGAGCGCAGCGAGCGAGAGCGTCCCTCGGGCAGCGGACTGCAGCGCTCCAAAGATGAGACTGTAAGTTCAGACAGAGCAGGCAGAGGTCCAAAACAGGGACATGTGAAAAGAAAACAAGAGGAGAGGAAGAGGAAAAAAGACGAAAAGGAATGGAGAAACCAGAAAATACTCAAAAATTGTGGGAAAATAAAAACAGATATGAACTTTAAAGCAGAAAGAAATGTGAATGTGAAATGTTCGTGCAAAAAATCCTGTTAGCTTTTTCCACAGCTGGACTAACATGTGTGCACCTATCTGTGAGTATGTCAGTTGTGTGTGTGAGTGTGTGACTTGACATGCAGTGGTGAGGATGTGTGGTGCCAAGACAATCACTTGGAAAGCGTGCGCTGCCATGCATACCGTGCAGTTGAAGCAAACAGACAAGACAGTTAAACAGTGTCTGCAGACAGACGGACAGACCTGGACACAGCTGTGTATGCTTACAAGTGTGAATACAGTTGTTGCTGTACAGTGAAGTACATGAGAACATGTTTAGATAATTTTTCATTTGTGAAAGAAGCTTGAGAAATGGAGACGGACATAGACTGCTATGAGCTGAGCTGGGCACATGTACACGAGCCAGAGTGTGATGAATGCTCCATCATCTTACTGCAGATTTACCTGACGTGGCTTACATCCATCAAACCAGGAACCTTCAGAGCCACATGTTAGATTGTAGTTCACTTATGTGCACAGGACTGAAAATCCAACCAGATCTTGCAGAAAAGCAATGCCCCCTGCCCACCTCACCTTGATCTCTACCACATTGTATGTGTCCCAATTAGTTTTTGTACAGTTTATCCTTAAAACATGGCATCTCAGCTTAGGTACATTCACTCATGCAAGTGCTGAGAAAGAAATCAAGTCACTGGAATTCCTCCAGTTATTGTCATCAAATTGATACATTTAACCCTTACAGATAATTTGTCATCATATTTGCCATGGCTACAGGCATTTCAAAGCCAAGCAGCTGCGTGTGGATCCTTCTGAGGGGCGGGGCTTCAACATTCAAACTCAAGCTAAAAGCTGGTGTTTCATTTACGTTGCTCCGCCCCCCAGCGGCATGCATGGAGGGGTTTGTCATTGTTTGTGTGTGTGTTTGTGTGTGTTTGTGTGTGTGGTTGCTCGTGAAACGGTGTTCTGTATTTGTGGGTATCATCACCGGAGTGTGCTAGAGACTGTGTCCTCCTACTTGTCTTAACTGATCCTCGTCTTATGGTGTGAGCTTTCAGCCTAAGCAGCTCTAGCCAGGTGCTGCATCTGTCTGCAAAGGAACCGTAATCAACGGAGGCAGCTGGAGAGAACACAGACACACAAACACACACACACACAAACAAACACAGCCCACAACCAAACATACACAAACGCAACAACAACGACAACAAGAGAACAAAAGAAGAAAGAAAACAGGACAGATACAACAAACAGAAAAGAAACAAAAGTGGATGAGGTTTGGGAGTGATGCAGGATAACTCTGTCCGAGGTAAATAGGATGAAAGTGCAAAACAGAAGTGTAGTAGTTGAGGTAGCATGGAGAGAGGGTGGAGGGGAAAGAGGCTCACCTCTGGATGAGACGTTGGTGCTCTCTGGGACACCTGTCACACACACACACACACACACACACACACACACACACACACACACACACACACACACACACATCAAAATTTAACTTTGCACTTGGCAGGGAGCGAAAAGGCTTCAACAGTCCCTTGCCACAGGGCCTACACAGCATGTGTTACTTAGCTTTCACCTTCTCATACATCTTTTGCCCATCCAAATGCTCCTTTTATAGTCAGTACTATAGCCGGGACCAGCTGCTTGCTCATTGTTCAATTCAAGTGAATGAAAAGTAAGCCATGCTGCTTTTCGAGCATGACATCTCATCTAGACAACACCACACGGTCATCTAAGTTTACTTCAAACTGAACACACTGGGCAATGACTCACGACTGTTTATTTACCTGGTAAACGAACCATAACCAGCTGATTGTGGCAGAGCTTTGCGGATGGGGTGAGTAAAGAGACTGTACCTATAGTTGTTAGTGGAGGAGATGGGCAGTGCCTGTTATTCAAGCAGGATGGAAGAGGTGGTCAGGAAGAAATTAAAACAATTTCTTTTTTTAAAAGGCTACCTGAGGCTTTGGATGCTTGCTGAGTGTTGCCTGTTGCTGCGTCTGCACATAACTCCATGGGGAACTGCAGCTGCTCTTCAGTCTCACCTCCTCCTGGAAAGAAGCACATATAATCACTCCGGTGCTCTAGATTTCAAACACAACCAAAGAGATGTTTTTTCTTTTGTGGTTCTGTTCCGTTTTCTTACTTCACTACTACTGAAACAACCTGGTTTTTTGCAAGTAGTTTGAAGGTTTGTTGAATACTAACACAAGCCTATCACAGCTCAGAGATACAGCGTTAAAAGTTTTAAAGATACAGTAGATAGCATTCCTAATCAAAATGTTCTAATAGAAAAGCAACACAGGAAACACATATCTCAAACTTACAGTGGTTACATATGAATAACTATTTGTAGTTTCACAGTAATGGAAATGGTTTTTTAAATAAAGCTTTTAACACAAGACTAACCCTGCATTATATAAAACCTCAAGGTATTGAAGGTATTGTCTGACTTTGTGTGAGAATAAAATGTTAAAAACATCCCCTAAAACAATCAATAACTCCCTTTAACCAGATATACAGTACCTTTGGTGGGGGGCTTGTCTGCCGGCTTCTCCTGATTCTGGTCTTTGTCAAATGTCATGGCAACAGCTGTAACTGCAACCTGCAAGGCAGAGGCACATTAATAGATATGAGAAACTTTTTTTTGTTTATTTTTTTTTTTAATATTGGATTTGACTCATAAATTCAGTTTTGTTGCTATTTCACAAATCAGAGATGGCCTGAAGCCTCTCACCTGTATGAGCTCTTCTTCTGGTACTGCTACAGTGAAGTTGAGCTTACACAGACAGCAGGGGATCATTGAGCGCAACTTGAAGTAAAAACTCTGAAACAAAAACACATTGAAATTACATGAAACTCTTTATTCAAAACACAAGAAATACAAGGACCATTGTAAGAGTTTAACAGTCTTACACATGCCCATTACAAAGGATAAGTATTGCACCAAAAAGGACGTAGTTACCAACTGATCCATAGAGGCCTTCTTACCTTTAGCAGATTCTCACAAAGGTCAGTGAAGATCTTGTTCAAGCCTTGGTTAGTAAGATTGGCATTACTCAACCTAAAGACCCTCACTGATGTAAACATCTGCAAGACAGTAGCAGAAACACATGGCATGAAATATACGATTAAAGCAATACATTTCCTGAATTATAATAGTTTTGCCTTTCCTGTAGATGTAGATTTGCTTAATTATGTTCAAATTGCAGCGGTTGAAAAACACTAAATGTACACATCAATGGCACAATATAATTGAAATAAAAAAATAGTTTTTAGTTAAGATAATAGAAGGTTTGCTATGTATAAGGATGTAACGCTGTATTATGAACACTAACCTGAACCCCTGAAGTCCAGTTGAAAATCCCAGGCATGGTCTCAGTGTTGCAGCTGTAGAAACCTAAAAGTGGAATGGCAAAAGATGAAGAGGCAAAGAGATTTGACATTTGTTAGATCCTCGACCCAATAGGGAGATACCTGAGTGCAGTGAGTGCATAATGATTCACTTTAAGGCTGCAGGATGTGAGGATAAGGTGTGAAAACAAGTATAGGCATACCATATTGCTGCTTTCAGTATACTAAAATACAACACATTTCTTGTTAGATTCAATAAACGAGAGTATACAGTACCTGCGGGGGTAGAAGCATCCATGAGGAGAGAGTGGATGTCCTCCACAGCATCAGTGTCATCAATCTATGGAAATGACAGCAAATTCTTAAACTTGTCCATTGAAATAATTGCATTTACACATGTTGTATTGATACACACCTCCAGGACAAAGGCATCCTTCTTGCCATGGGAGAGGTCCAGTTCTGACTGTTCATCTGAGCTTTCTGAGTGGGAGCGGAAAAGTCTGGATCGTTGCCTGGGCTCAGGAATCGGAGAACCAACAACCTCCTCTGTCGGCTCCTGCAAAGCAAAGGGAAACAAAACCTGAGCAGACTGGCTGTCTAAGTGAACAGCAGAATACAGCAGCAGCGCACGTCTGCATCTCACATGTTCCCGCACTGTAAATCTAGTATAAAGTCTATGTTAATACCACACCACATGCTCACACTCACTGAAGTATTGGCTGCATCATCACACACACACACACACACACTAGAAAGAGTAAGGAGTGGCACATACACACACAAACACCGCCCAAAAATATACAGGTGAGAGTTTGAATGGGCAGGGTAGATGTTCATAATACAAGTACATCAACACAGATACAATGGGTCTACAGTGGTTTGCCCTTGAGAAGTGACTTAGAGATCTACCTGCTCCCAAATGACCCCAGTGGTTATACAGGTATAGTAAAAGCAGTGTAGTATTGTGATTAATACAGTGAATATTTGTCATGCTTTGCTGCGTCTCACAGCTAAAAGTCACCGTGCTCAGTACCATGTTTATGCCGCAGAACACCTCAGGGTCCAGGGCAAATAATTTCTTTAATAACCAGAGAGAGACAAGAGGGGTAAGTTTATCACGATTTACAAAGAACAGACTATATAATGTATGATACATGATTTTGAACAAAGAGAGAATTATACCCAAAACAATGGAAAGGCTTAAGCCTCAACATGTATGTGACAGGCACAATTCTTAAGTATTAACTAGCCATTAACTGCAGGTACAATTCTGACATTAAAGCCCTAAAATACACAAAAACGTAACATTGTTGTTTCCACAAGCTTTCTGTTAACAGCATATTATTTATTTTTGGGTACCCACTTGGTACTCTGAATACTGTAGTGTTGAAAAAGACATTGTAGAGACCTACTTAGCAACAGCATGATAGGGTAGGCCTTGCAGACCTAATCACAGTCTTCCATAGATTCATTTACTGTGGCTGCATGTGTTTCGGGTCTCACCGGAGGGTTAATCTGATAGAGCTCCTTGTTCTTGGCAATGGTGTCATTGATCCTTTTCTGAATGGTGAGGATGTGGTGATCATTGCTCATCTCACCAGGAGTTTTCCCCGCGATCTGGATGGCCCCTGGAGCCGGCAGGGCTGTCAGGTACACTCCTGTAGCAGACTGAACACACACTCATTTTAAGGACAACACACAAATGGCTGAATAAGCTGTTCACCCTTAAACGTCAACCTACAGCCAGACCCAGCAGCATGTTCTCTCCGACACTGATCTGTATGTGCAGGCCGAACAGAGCGTTCATGCTCCGCAGCTTCAGCTTGTTCATCAGCTGGGTGTGCAGCTCGTACTCCATGAACGGCAGCAGGTTGGAGATGGCCGTCGCATTCACTTCACCCTGGGCCTTCTTTTTTAAACGACACAGCCTAGAAGACAATAAACACTGGCATTAACTCACTTTTATCAACGTCTTCGTGTGATCAGCCTTCAAGCTGCCACAGCATGTTGGGAGATCATGTGATCAAACTGATTTAGAGGGAATTAACATTGTACATTATTAAGGTGTTTTTTTTATTAATCATTTTCTTAATAAATCTACCCTATGCGAGATTTGACTGCACTAAATATTACGTTAAAAAATAGTTTAAACCATGTTACTGTCATTGGAAATATATCTTCTGCTATTTAAATGGAGTTTCTTTAAGATCCAGCTTTGGTGTTTCTTCTCTACGTTGGAAATCAGTTTAAAACGGCTTGAAGCCATTTAACTGTGACATGTTTTACCTGGCCTGGATAAGGCAGCCCTTTCCTGTGACAGCTGCTTCTGGTGGCAGGTCAATTGTTGTGAAGAGCACATCAGGAACCTTGAAGACACATAACATTTATTACTACTAACTCATGCTTTTTCCCACCACACTGGGTTTTAATAAATGGGACAACGATTTACACGATTTCGGCAATCGAGATGAATATATTTGACACCTTTTGTCGCCTGCACTGGTAGCAGTAAGTGAGCTGGGCTGGAAAGGGCATGTTGAGCTCATCATAGGGGATGTGGCAGAAACCACAACTCGGAGGAGACAACTCCTCAAACCTGCAGAAAAACACACACCATCTGGTATCATCCTCAAAACTCAATTCAAGCTGTGCTGACATAGAGAGCATACAAACAAAGATTAAAATCAGTCAGTCATAAATAATATCAACCTGTGGTCGCCGATTACGATGTCGAGGCAGCCTTCACGCATATATCGAGGATTCAGGATGGCTGCTGTGCCTGAGGCTGACAGGATACACACTTCCTCACTGGGTCAAGGGGAGGGTAGAGGAAGAAAGGGAAAGAAGATGAGAACACCACGGGAACTTGTTTAAAACTAACTGGGTTATAAATGAACATCAACAATAGGCAAAGCAGGCAGAAAAAGGAAATCTTTTTACTACTACATACCAGATGCTAGTGCTCTCACTGTACCCCACCACAGCATGGCAACCAAGAGCTTTGGCATGAGATTTGATCTCCTGGCGTATCTCCTCCCACCAGGCGTCGCGAGTCTCTGGCTCATCTGGAAAACACAAAACTCAGAGTCAGACAGTTTTTACAAACCATTCCAGGTGGCTGAATGATCTAATAAAACCTCACTGAACACTGGAGTCTTTCTACTGCTATCAAGAGTAAAGCTTAACCTAGTTAACTGTCGACATTGTTCAATTAAAAAAAGAATACTTCCTGACAGTACACACACTCAAACAGGAAATATGACAAGTCTGTATCTAATCTGTTGCTAATGTGAAAAATAACCAGAAAATAAAACACACATCATAACAATACACTGATGAAATATGAATTAAACAATGTTTCAAAGCAAGCCAAAACCAAGTATCATTTTGTGAAACAAAGTGATATTATGAATGATGAAATGAGAGTTTTAAGGATGATGATGAAGGCAGAGTCAACGGTTAGGTTACTTGTGTGTTCTTTAAATGCATATGATCAAAAATCATTTTGTCACTCAATTCTCTATGTCTCCTTTCAGAACAAAAGGACACTGGTGAGAGATACAGAGCCGTGTTGTGGCTGTGGTTTCTGACTATAGAAAGAAGATCCTCCTGGATAGTAAAAGAGTTACTACAAAAAAATGCCTGATGTGATTAGTGTCTCTACATTGTTGACAAACGTTTCAAGTTCAAAGGGATAATTAGGCTAAACCATGGGTGGGTTTCAATAATCTCGTGAGGCTTAACTCCACCACTGTTACATCAAAATCCTTCGTGAGAGCCTAATCGTTGCCAGTTGTGAGTTTGATCTCACTCAATTCTGGATCACTGAACAAAGAAGACATGAAAGGAGCTACATTAGAGTATTGAGCTACACCCCATGTCTCCCTGTCAGTCAGGGCCACATGCTGACAGAGCCCCAAAAAAAGAAGAGAGAGAGAGAGAGACTTCTGGGTGAGACAGGGGAGGAATGAATGAGGGGAAGATTTGGAGAAGAGATGAAGAATAATGACTGATGGCCAGGCATCAGGCCCTTTAAACCAGAAGCAGCATGTCACACAGGCACAGGCTCACCAACGTGCACGCTCATGACCATGTGTACGCTCATGGGCAGAGAAGGGCCATATTCATTCACCAGAGTCCATTAAATCTAGTTTTTGAGTTAGATAATACTGACTGATGGCATTCTTCCTCCATTACCCAAGCTCATGTTTCCTTCCATCCCAATCATTCATCCCAAATCCATTTTTTTATTTTCCTCAACTGCCACCCATAAAATCACCCCTCCTTCCACGCATCCATCCCTCCCTCCCTCCCTCCCTCCTTCTCTCTCACTCTCTCTCAGTATGAATACGGCCCAGTGAGTTAGGGATGCACATGCGTCAGTGGCTCTCTGTGACACAGTAAACCTCCTAAACCTCCTCTGGTCTAGACAGGTTTGACCACGATGCTGATTCAGGAAGCGTTAGAACAGAGCGGGGACAACGTTAGGGGAAGAGCTGCAGCTCTTCTGTGCAGCAGGATGAGCTGGGGGGGAGCCAGGTTTGATCGGGTAGGGGTGGGGACACAGCGCATGCTCAACTCAGCCCAGCACACACTCACACAGTTTAGAGAGTGGAGAATGGCAGCTCACTGGATTTATCAATGTTCAGTGTAACACTGTCGGTCTGGCTTTTGTTGAATTTCTTTGTTGATATAAATATGAAGCCTAGTTGTTCTCAAGACGTCAGTATTGGGTGCATGCTATGAGGGTACAAGCCTCACTCCAGTGAGCTGCCATTACTCCTGTGGGTGAGAGCAGTAAAAGGGGGAAAATACCTGCAGTGACACTATTCCAGTCTAGCAGTTTGTATGAGCGAGTGTTACCCAAGGCTGGGCCAGAACACACCGTTAGTACAGAAAAGAGAGAAAAATAAAAGAGAGATAGTCCAACAAACAAGCACAGCACAACAGCAGCACTCCACAATCACTATGCAAAGACAGACAGAACTCACAGTGACTAGAAAAAGTACTACAAACTATATTATGGCCTTCTAATACAATCTAGAAAGAAGATGACTGACAAAAAAGAAATTGAAAATAGCAAAAAAAATTGGAGAAGGAGCATGCAGCATCAGTCTAAGTCAGGTTTATCTCCACTCCCTGTGGAGATAACAGTTGGTATACATTCAGGGTTTCTGTATATATGTTTGAGGTGAAACAAACTTAGAAAAGTTGATGTTTTTTTTAAATCGTTGCCAGTCATTGCCAAAACTAGTAGATGGTTTGCATCATCTGCATGCTTGTGCATGTGCGTCCTTGTGCATGATACAAACAAAAACAACTTGTAAAACTATAGCTACTTGTGGTCAAAAACTCCACAGGGTGCCTTATAGGCTCTGTAGTAATTATAGTCAAGACATAGTGACATTGAGCAGAGCTGTTAAACCTGCAATTTTGGATCAGCAAAAACCTTAAGAAAGCTATTCTGTTTACACTAGTTAGTTAAAGAGATATACTGTAGGCTATGTTATTATATGCATACACCTTCTTGAAGATTATCAGTACAGTGTTTTTTGGTTATCTTATATTAGTTTCCCTGAACATCTCTAAATAGAAAAGGCTTATTGTAACACAGCCAACATTAATGAGCGCTCCCCTGTCCCTACATTTTCAAACACCCTAGAGTCAAAGTCATAAAAGACCATTAAACTAGCAAGGGTATTATTTACTGAAGCTACTAAGACCTTTAACAGACAGGTACTTGCCTAAGGGCAACTGTCTTATTTGAATGATGATTTCAACATAGAGTTAAGAATCCTATTTGATAATTGATGAGCACATTTTAAAAACACCACAGTACCTCACCACAGCGCCACCTGCAGCCAACAACACCAGACAACAGAAGCAGCAGGCGACAGAATGGAGCCATGCAACACTACTGCACCTCACCTCCAGGGAGCAGCACCTCAGCACACAATTAACACAGCGACACACACACAGACACACTCACACACACATGACCAGAACAGACTTTACATACCACAAAGCCAGTCAGTCAACCACAAGGTGAAAGTTGCCCCTATCCATATAACGGGTTTGACACAACCAATGAAGAGCCTGTGCTAACTTCATTTCCATCAAAATGCTACAGCCTAAAAGTGTGACCAGGAATAGCTTTCACCTGCTTTGGAACAGAACTGAAGTCTTTCAACATAATTGTTCTAAACAATCAAACTGATTGGGACTAGGACACAGAAAGAGATAGTAATGGGAAGCATTAACAGCCAGTTGCAACAAAACAGCACACTCACACGATAATGTAGGTCAATGGAGGAGCTCACTCGTATCGCTCGGACGACAATGGACATTAGAAAGTGATGTGCCTATGAGCGCTGCACTCACCAGGGTTGTGTATACGGTCCAATAGTTTGACAGAGCGAGCGCTGACCACTCCACCGACATGAACCAGAAAACCAGGAGGGAAAGACGTCAAGGTGAAAAAGGGGAACTCCTGCAGATAGAAAACAGTTGTGTCACTTACAGTAAGGGAGAACACACTCTGGACTTGCCAAAGTATCTTTTTACTAATCATCAGTGACTGCTCATTGATTCTAAAAGTTAATCAGATTGTATTGTTATTCAGAAGTATATATCTTAGTAAAAACATTTGTTAATCTAATATTTTTATTGGGGCTAAAGGTGCCAAGAATACATATTTAAATGTATTTGTCTCTCAAGGCATAAAGTAAAAATGTATTGATTACAAGAAACATGGTTTTCTAGGCCCTGTATCTTCGACTGGTGTGTGTAGGCTTAACACTATTGTTGTGTGAGGAATAGTGCCAACATGCAGCAATGGTTGAGTTTGATGGTGTGTCCCCCCCCCATGCAAGGTTTACCCCTGAGGAGTCCCCCACTCGATCCATTCCAGGCTACACTTGTAGACACAAACATTTCAAATAGATCTGGAAGTGATTGAATTATTTATTTGTTTACTATAAAGCCTACATACTGCATTTGGTACCACTGATTCAGTGGTCCATTCAATCCTTACAAATCTATATAAATGAATCAATTAGGTTTGGAGTTGACGGTGAAGGACAAACACACACACAAGGTCCTGGCTGAAGGTATGTACATGCTATCCTGTCCATTAACATGGCAGTTGGTCTTTTGCTTCCAAAATCATCATCATCAAATCATTCTAATCCATGCACTCACGAAAGGAGCTGGAAATACTTGTACCGCCCGTTAGCCTCTTGGTATAGTTTGAAGTAATGACTACCTTTACATAAAATCTGAGGGACGTCCAAACATGCATGTAGATGTGATGAATGGCTTTGGTGGGAACAATCAGGTAGGACCACAGATAAGCTTGTTTCTTGTCCGGTACTCCAGCAAGGGAGATAGCTACTACTTTAACTGAGAACTCCTCCCACTCGGAGCAAGGAGGCAAGAATGAGGATGAGGTGAGCGTGCTCATTCCCGTTGTTGACACAGGATAACCAAATCAGACTCAGGAAAATAATTCAGAAAGGAGGGGAGGTGTTTGACATGAGTATCCAGAAGGCACACACACACAGTCACGCAACCCTTCAAACTTGAAGGGAACACAACTCCTAGCCTCCGAGCCCTCCGGCAAACATGTCCGTGAATCTTTTAGAGTGTGCCGATGGGGGCCGAGCAAATACAAAAGCAGGGGTCGCACAAGGACCACCTGCCATGCCCCAGCCTGCCACTCTGAGATCTACAGACAGCACAGGAGGGACAGGTTAGGAGTTGATCAGACGTGGTGGTGGTGGTGGTGGCCATCAGTTGGTCAAGGTGTTAGGGGAAAGGTGGAGAGAGAGGAAGTGCCACACCGATGGGACATACCCTGGCGTTTAACAATAACCCAGAGGAGGACGCTCCCTGAGTAGCACAAATGGTCAAAAGGACAAAGAAAGGGAACATTACTTGCCCTTACACAGAACCACTCCCCATTAAACACGTACATGTCAATTAGTGATCTTTCACAAAAAATGCAGGTATGAAAAAAGTGTTTGACACTGTGAGACATCTGAGACTGAAACACTTAATGCAAACTAGTTTTCAAAGCATCTCATAAATGCTAAGTCTAGCTCACTACTTTGACTATGAAGTGTTTATTTCTTATGTGTTTCATTGCAGCGATGTAGCTAGTCAATCAAGCCCCAGTCTGAAACAAAACACAGTGTATGTGAAATTCATGAAACTTAAATCATGCAGGGTAGTTCAGTCTCAAATGTCTGCAATTTAGTTGGTAAATACATGTATGAGAATATGTTGAGTTGAGTTGAGTCATCGTACCCTCTGCTCAAGAGCCGTCTGCGTCTGCTGTCTGAGCAGGGTCTTCAGAGGCCCCGCCTCCTTCCCGGCACTGCCTCCATTGCCCATTCCTGATCATAGAGAGGAGTCCAGCTTCAGTTGTTGTTACTTGAAACATACACATCAATGCACTAAAAATCCAAACTGTCAGTTGATTATTTACATTACAGTATTAAGTTATTCTGACAAACCAAGTAAAAGCAACAGCTGAAGTAGCAACACCCTAGACAGTAAACACACCTGCTTTACCCTCATGCTAAGACTACCCTATTCTTAAAATGTTTTCCTATTCATATATTAATACTGAACCTAGAATAAGGTATGCCTGATAAATACATCAAACCACATGCTGGAGTAGGACTCTAAGTTAGTCAGTAGTGCTCTGGGCAGTTGCACCATGCATGGTTCATTTGTTTCGGATAACACCAAGTCAATCTGAACAGCTCTGCTGTTGACCCAATATACAAGAGAGGCGCCAACACTGTCGTGAGGTTCCGTTACTTTGTGACACACAGCGGTCCTACTATACCGGAGGCTGCCAGCAGCAGGTCCTCTGTGAAGGACACGCTTTTTCTCAGCAAGACAGTGTCTGAGTGGACGCTGAAGGGAGGGGGCGGGGTGCTGGCTCTATGAGCAGAGTTGTGACCACAGATCACTGAGCCAGAACCAGAAAGGGACAGAGTGTCTGTGGAGAGGGTGGGGGAGCTGGGGCACAGGAAGATCCCAGGCCTGCTTCTCACTGGCTTCACTATCCAGCAGAAAAACAGATGGAGGGTGCACAGAGAAACACAGATATATTCAGAATGGCAGACAGGCAGAGCAAAAAAGGAGAGGAGTCAAAAACACAACAACAAGGAGGGGGGGTAAGGACGTGACGGGGAGAAAAGGGAGGTAGTGTAGAGAAAGAATAAACTGACAATCAGATGAAATGTATAATTTAGTTTCACTTCATTTGCTAAGCGCAATGCTCAACAAAGGAAGTGTTCTCGTTAGCCAGGTGCAGAGAATATGAGAATGATATGACAGAGCAGACGAAATATGATAAGAAAGGAAAGGAGAGGAAACAATGAGGAGGGATGTCAACTTGGGGGACTGCTGGTCGGCACCTGAGGGGTCCGGGGAGCGGCTCTGGTAACAAGGATCTTCAGGCTAAACAGTCTGAACTGTGTTAATGAAATATGTCCTTGAGGGTAGGGTTTCACTAAACTTACCTTTTCTTCAATGATTAACCATAATGGCTGCTAATGAAGAAGTTACCTTAGATCAGCAAACAGCCCCTCATGGGACACAATGCTTCTACAACAACAACAACAACAACAACAAGGGGGGATATGGTGTGTCTTCACAAAATTAAGCACATTTTAAAGAAATCGTGATTATTTTTGTTCAATAGTGGGGAAAAAGGAAGACACACCAGGCCACTGAGAAGGGAGAGGATGGGACATGACATGTTGTAAAAATATTTAGGACACGATTTATTATAAAATAATTTAAACAGAACCATGAAAAATGTAAAACATAAATAAACAAAACATTGAAAAAAAAATACCACCATAGTAGCACCACAATGAGGTGAGGGAGAATGGAGGGGTTAGAATGGGAGTAGAAGATGGGGCCACGTGTCCTTACCCGTCTTGGGCGTCAAACTGAGGTCTGTGTCTGATGATGAGGACTGGCGGCTGCATGGCTTGGAGGGAGAGAAGGGGGGGAGGGGGAGGAGGAGGAGGTGGTGGTGGTGGGGAGGGCTCTGAAAGGGGTTGACGGGCCGGAGGACAGGGTCAGGTCCTCAGCAAATACCGGCCTGCCAGGAGAACATGACACACACACGTCAGTCACCACCTCACCCTCTGAGTGTGTGGGTGTGTGTATACACAGGACTGGGTCATCGTTGCTGTTTTTTGGGGAGGTTTCTGTGTCAATGTATGATTTGCTTGTATTGGGTGAGGCGTGTTTGAGGTGCTACAGATGGTTGGAGACGAAAAGAAAAAAAAGCAAGCATGGAAAGCAAAAACACACACAAACATTAAACTAAAGAAAGCACCATGGCAAAACACAAGAAGGTGAGATTGGATAGAGGATAAGGAGCTGAAGCATGTGTCCCAGTGGAGGGAAGAAAAGGTCAGGTGACTGTGGAGAGATCAGAGGCCCTTGCAGAAGGATGCAACGGGAAACCTGCCCACCCTCTACCGTGGGAAAATGACACGGGGAAGAGGGCTTTCAGCCTAGTAAGAAAGTTTGGGCTTGCTATAAAGAAGGTAAAGGGTCTGTCTTCCTTCTTTGTCTTGATATCTCAGTCTACAGAATGGCTTTATCGCTACTATTGGACTGTCAACCTACCAAACTCCAGCAAAAATATATTCACTTTTCTCCTTTCATATTACTTCTCTTTGTATTTAAAACTTTGTGTCTTTCTTTTGTATTATTTCCTTCCCTGCCTCTGCGTACCAGTGAAGATGAGTGTGGGGACAGAGACAGAGAAGTTCTGGGACAGTCTCTGGGAGCTGCAGGCCGAATGCACTGGGCTGTTGTGGGTGGAGCGGCATCCGTGGGCAAGGGGAGACCTGGGCCAATCAGTACGCAGAGGGAGAAGACAGAGGAGCGATTTGGACACAAGCAGTGAGAAACGTCCCAATCCAAGTGTAGCCAGAGAGCCAGAGAAGGAGAAAGAGATGCACACAAGAACCAACACCACAACATTGCAATAGAGTGTAAAAGGAGACGAAAAGGAAAAAAACGTTTGTTTTCACGCTCTCTCTATGTCCCTGTTATTCTGTTTAAAGCCACATGAAAGCAGCAAGGAACTCAATAGCCCTCAGCTAAAGATCTCAGTCTCACACAAACATGCACAACAGGGATGCAAACACAAAATAAAACAAGTCCAAAACAGGGACAGGGACAGCAGTAGAAGGTCTGTGACTAACGATCATTTTCATTATATTTAATCTTTATAATTCACTAAATGTATTGTTCATCTTTTGCTGTATGAATTTTCAGAAAATAATAAAAAGGTTCATCCCTGATACCCAGAGTCCAAGGTGCTGATATGAAATGCCTTGTTTAGCCAGTACATAATCATAGGTTTCCAATGAAGGACATTTTTGTATTTAAAAAGGCTGAAAACTGCATTTTCTGCATGAAAAGGTGTTAAAATAGATACAACTCTAACCTTTAGAGACATTTTTAGAAATGTATCCCAAAAAAAACTGACAGAAAGTTGAGGAGTGGAGAAACCTTTGCAGAAACCGCCAAAAGATGTTTACATGCCTAATATACACAATCTCACGTGCACTGGCAAAGATATATATTTCATACATACAAAAAAGTAAACATGCACTCAACTCTAGATAAGCTTACAGTAATTGGATGAAATCACAAGCTAACCACTCAGGATGAGGACAACAGAACAAAGTGAAGGAGCCTGATTTGAAAGCTAGATACTCACAAAAAGACGCAGCACTAGAACATGCAGAAGCAGAAAGTAATGCCACAGCTGTCTATCGAGCAGACAAGGGCGGGGGCGTTGAGGGAGGATGAATGTGTACACTGTACATGTGTGTGTCTCAGGATATGTTGTGTGCTGTTAGTTTTCATAGTACAATACATATGACACAATAAACAAACAACTACAAAGAGGAATCAAAGATTCTGAGACACACACAGGAGTAACTGCTATACACACACTAGCATTCACTACCTTTTATCCACACGCTCTCCCTCTCATGCACACACCATTCTTCTTTCCCCATTCACACACACTCGATTTGCAGACAAACTTGCACATTAGAAGAGGCAGGGTCCATGCTTGTGTTGATGGTTCATACTCACTCCTTTCCATCCTTAGAAGGGGAATTGCAGGCATTGGAAGGCGGGGCTGTGTTAGGGTGCATATGTGTGTTGGAGTTAGGGGCGCTTCCAGAGCTGAGTTTGTCCAGTGTGCAGGCGGTACCTATGGCCCGGACCACCAGGCCTGACTCTCCCTCCAGGTCAAAACACTGCAAATAGCCCACCACTGCATTTCCGCCCATCTCCAGTACCTTAAGCCCTATTTTCCTCTGTAGCTCTCCTACATAAGGAGTAAAACACAGCCATATTAACAAGAGGCAGAACAGGAACGACCACATTTTTCTTTCTCCACGCCAAAATGAAAAAGGGATCACTGGGAATGTTCTTACCGGACATGAGAGAGATGAGCCTCTGACGGGCCTCATTGGAGGCCCGAGGAGTTCTGATACGGTCGATCCACTGGTACTCCGGATCTTCATTCACCACAAGTTCCTCCACAAACCCGTGTACCATCGCTGCCTTGTAGCACCGTGGAATGGATGAGGCTACGATACACAATCAGACAAACACCACATAGAATGAAAGGATTTTAAATTGAGAATAGTTTATCTAAACTTTCCTATAATCCTATAGCTATAATTCCACTTAGCACATAAAGAGTGATCATTCCTGGTTTAACTGTACACTATTGGCAGTGATAAAACCTGTATTTTTGTTCATATTCTAAATGAAACCCAAACTACATTTTGTCAATCTGCATTGCTAGCACACAAATTATTTTTTATACGGTATTTTAACTGTAAACAAACAATTGTGAACAGAAAGTCAAGTCAGACTTACTGCAGAAGAACTTGACCCCACAGGACGACTGTCTGAAGCGGTTCAAATCATTGAAAAGCTCCACTTTGACGAGAACATTAATCTCACCTCGAATACCTAATAAGAAACAATAGAAATAGAAATTATAATAAAGAATGGTAAATATTGAAAGTGTTTGCATTATCATAGTCAGATGAGTTTCCTGTTGTACCGTGAATTGTATCATAGATAGGGAACCAGCCAGAGATGACAGAGGCAGCCTCACTGCACAGCAGCGGGTCAATGTCAATGTAAACTTTCCCTATGGCATCATTAGCACTGTAAGTATCGTGGTCCAACACTGTGACCTGCAATGGCTCATCCTGCAAGTCCTCATCATCAACCTGCAAATCAAGAGAGGGAAAGAAGAAAAAAGAGCAGATAAGAGTGTGAGTAAATGCTAAAATGTAATGAATGTATATTGTGTGGTGTATTAAGCACACTATCACTTCCTGCAATGTAAAAGAGAAGCTCATAGGCCTTTTACCTCGAATTTGAACCATTCTGAGTTCCACTGTGGGTTGAGGGATTTGGGACAGACATCGGTTTTAAAAGTTGTGTTTCCAAACTTAACCTGAGAAATGAAAGACAAAAGACAAGAAGCTTCTTTGAGTAATAGATATATATATATATAATATAATACAGACCATACTGAACCCAAGTGTAAAATGTATGTTGTCACAGGTGTAAATGGTTTCAGTAAAGCAAACTAAAAGTCGTGATCTGCAGGCTTCACTCACCTCTACAAAAGCATCAGTAAGGTCACTGGCTCTGTCCATCACAGGCAAGTGGCGCCCTGCCACAATTTTGGCCTTCAGTTTCCCAGGCATGATTCACTTTATAGTTGAACTGTAAACAAAATAATAAAATAATAATAATTCGTGTTTCAATGGTGTTTTGGACAAACAGTTATCAACCCTGCTGTCACTATCAACAGGGAACAGAGTGTAACACTTAACAACATACCCATTTGTTGTTGACAGTTTGGACAGCCCCTTATTTAACATACATGTCCATGAGCTAATAAGCTAGCTTACTTAGCTAAATGTAACGTTTCTTGTCTAACTCCAAATGGTTTTATCAACGTGCTTCAAATATATCTATTGAACTAACGTTTATAAACAAGACATCAACTGTCAGTTAGCTAGACAGTGTTAGCAAAGCAAGGCTAGCAAGAAAATCCACTTAGGGTAACTGCATTGCAGTCAATCTGCTTAGCTCTACCTGGATCGGCCATGTTTCAACAATAATACTGCAAAGCCTATGTACTAATAATATGACTTTGCTGATACACGTTTAAACAGTATCATCCTTACCAGTGCTAGACTATGAACTGTCAATGTGGACCTTATTGTTGTCATTACTTTTGACAGCCAACCACTCGTCTGACCTCCGTTTATCTCCCATAACACGACACGTTAAATCGGTTGCTAGTACACCAGACAGTAGAGTGTCGTTTGAATAATATTCAGGTGAAATTATAGTTTATAAATGTACGGTCCACGAAAGGACCGACTAATCAATTAATTACACCTATCAGTGATTAGCGCGTAAAGCTAACTGCTAGCTTCATGAGGGTCCAGCTCATGATGAATGAGTTTCCACCACGGGTTACTGTGTGCTGCCTTCAGGTACACCCCGTATACTCGTTCTTCCATTCAAAACGCTACAAAAACAGAAACGAAATTAGCCTAAACAACAATTACGTTCACTGTAAGCACAAATAAAAATAAAATAGACAAATTAATACACTTAGCAGCACTGTGAGTAGATGTAGGCTTTTCGTGGTGTTTTAAGTAGCTACGTACACACAAAAAAACAATATAACGAAGTTACCTAAAGGCATCATTAGGGTTCGTCTTGGACATGCGCAGTGAAGGTCCTCTTCCTCTAAACAGACACTTTCCAAAAGTTGGTACTAACATTTGATATAAATATGACATCTCTGTTATGTCATGTCAATGTTTGCTACTGCGGTCAAGTCCCCACGTTGTATTGCGGTGCGCGAATATCCTATGCATTTGCATTACGGTAGAGGCCTGTCAAAACTGCCTTTAAAATAAAAGCGCTTACTCGGTCAATAACAAATATACCTAAAAAACATAGCAAACATATTCATAAATACTGGAGCTTAAATTAAGAAATATGTACTAAATGTATAATGTGATCAATAATAATTTAAAACAAACTACGTATAACTACCACATAATCTGAGTGAATGTAAAACTTAAGGTTACAGTTATGAAGACATATCTGACCATTACATTCATTATTAAAATGTCCATTTCCACTGAGTGACTAATTTCAATTGGTGTTGACACCATTTCACAACACTCATGACTAACATGACTATCTGAAGCACAATTTAAAATGTATGCTGTTTAAAATGTCAAATAAGATCTATTGTCCATCTATATTTTTGATTATTATTTAATGGAAACTGTCCACAATCAAAGAGCCATTCGAAGTCAATCAAAGACTAATATCACTCCAGGGTGAGCAGGAAACCCCATCTAGTAACTAAGAGAAAATCAGGACAATCTGATGTAGAATTTCAAAATAAAATACCTTTGAAGTCTCGTATGAGCTATCATCCCTCTGTTTTTAGATACGAATAAAACAAAAACTCTCCAGTATCAAATACTTATTTCACTTCAAGGTGATAGCAGGACACCCCACCTAGTCACTCAGAGAAAATCAGGACAATCTGATGTATTTGTTTTATTCCTTGAACCTAGTGCCTTGAACCAGCGATTTCTCTAATATGGAGAAGGGGCTACACTGGTTGTAAAGAGAATACAGTTGCGTAGGTCAATGAGAAAATTACACTTTTTATCACTGAAAGTTTTCGAGTTTATGGTCTCAATCTGTAATGTCATATACTTATTTCTAAAAGTTATGATCCATTTTGATTAATAAACAGACAATAAAGCAGGGAATGCTTTAGAGCAGGACTACCTTGTGATTGACAGGACACTACCTGACACTATCTGGTTTGCAAGTTGTCTGTAATTTCGTCTTAAAAGTTCAACCTCTCTGACAATGTGTTTCCTGTTCCAGAAAAGTATGTGTAACCTTTTAGATGTCTTAAGATATCTTTATCAGGGTTAAGTGTCACTTTGATTAAAATGACCATGATATGTTTTCTTATAGTATAGTTTTGCTAGGATAATCTTTCTAATTTTCTTTAGACTTTTTAATATAATATGTAATGTGGGAAACAGCTGGGAATCTGATTTGGCAGGTGAAACTGTTTTATTATTTTTGCCACCTGTTTCACAGATAAAACATATTATTCAAGGAACTTAGAAAATAAATCCTACAATACTTTAGTTTTACCAAAGTAAATTACAACAATTTAGATAAAACTGAGACAATGGATAGCTAGAATGTTTTTTTCCAACTTGCCTCTCATGGTTTCCGTAAGAAATCCCAGAATTATCTTTTTATTTTGCTCAGTACTCTTTGAAGAGGACCAACCAAGGCCTATTTGTCATGAAATACTCCAGTACTGAGCCATGTCCCAGGTGGATTTGTTTGAATTAAAACACAAACTAGCATCTCACATCAGTCTGGACTGGGGAAGTCCGACAATAGGTTGATATTTATGGTCTGCATGTAGGCTATCTGTGTGTGTCTATCTAAAACAAAATGTCTGCGTCTGGAACTGAGAACAGGGAGTCATTACTCAAGATTAGGTTACATATGTAGGACCAACTGTGCTATTGTAGCAAACTCGTCTCACCTGGACCCATTTTAAAGGTTACATTTTTCCTTAGCTGGCTGTTTTACATTACAGCCCCTTGTTTATTACACAAGTAAAATAATAACGGAGGGATATGATGATCAGGGAGTTATTTAACCCTATAATAGATATTGTGTGAAAGATGTGTTGCATGCTGTCACATGCATTTAGGGACTACCCTGAACCTGCTTCTATTTAAAACACTACATGCTTTTGTTCATGTCAGCCCACAAAACATATCAGCACTTCCACAGTAATGAGGCATGCCAGAGCAGACTGACACCATCAAGGTCAACACATTGCAACCTTTAAAGGACAGTAACATCTAATGTATGTGCCATAAATAAGAAATACACACTTTATATACACATTTTAGTCATGTCACACAGCACACACTCATATGACCCAAAGTGATTCAGCGTTATGTGAAGGTTTTTTTCCCACTGCAATCCCAAGAGAGAGAAAGACAAAAAAAAACACTAAATGTATCTATCTTTAAAGTGAGCACACTCATGACATGGTTTCCATGGTTTCCTTGTAAACCTGTAAACATCCTATCAGATATGACAGAAATATTGCTTACATACATAAATCAGCTGAATTGGGGCATAGCCATCAATCGCTCAATACATGCTGGGACTCCAATCTGGCCAAGAGGCTTTAAAAACAATACATGCAATATATGTTATGAGAAGATTGAGCGAACTTCCTATGTTGTTTAAATCTGTGCTATGGTCATAATAACCCAGACCTGCTGCACTTGACCCAGGAATTATATGGAGGAAATGTAAGCAGTAGTCCTTAAAACAACCACTTGTTGTCATGTGCTATTGCATTTTAGCATGTATTGTGCTCACATGGTGTATAATCCAAATGAAATGCGTCTTTAGTTTTTGCTGTGTATGATGGGGACTTTTTTGCAATATGGGCTCCGGAGGTTAATCTAACCATGTGTTTAACCTTTGTGCCCCATTTTTAAAATGTGTTCTGATATAATTTGAGGACAATAATGTCCGTGCCAAATATAACAACTGCCATTAAAACGTATTTAATAATATTATTTTACACTTTAGTTAAATTTACAAGCACCATCATTCCTGACAAAATATTCATCTATTTATTTAAAAAGCCAGTGTTTCCAGAATGCTATGTTGTAGTTATGAAGTAAAAATAAAATCATAAAGATTGATTATCTTGTTATGCGATATCTGTGATATGTCAAAGATTACCAACAACATTGATTTTGATGCTTTTTTATGTCAAATGGTGAAACCTACACAAAACCTACTCAGTTTATTTTTAAACTTAAGGTAAACGCTGAGGTTACATTTGAAATAAAAACTCAGACTCATGACAACATAAAGTTGCCTCGAATTATCACAGCCAACCAATTAAATACAATTAGAAGGACAGAAAAGTTTCCTGGTGAGGCACCAAGTTTGATTGTGACTTGTTGGGTGCAGAATGCCAAAGAGTGGATGACAAACATAGCGCCAGAAAGGTTATTGGGTACAGTACAAGTGACCTCTGCTGAGGAGCAGAGAACAATCTTGTTGTTTCTGGGCTTTCCCTGCACACAAGTGCCTGTATTGAGACTCGTTGTTGTCACCCCCTCCAGGATTTGAATGACCAGTAAAACAAATGTGTATTCTTTAGTTTCAGACTAAGGACATCATCCCTTTTGACAGAGGCGATAATTCTGTCAATCAACAGAGCTGTTGAGTTAACAAGCGGTGGTATCCCGTTAATCCCGGTGACCGGCCAATAATTTCTGACTGAGAGGTGGGCGGTGTCACAAGGCAAAAGAGTGATACTAGAAACTCAGGAGACGTCTCACTACCTCCTTTTTTGAAAGTACCACAATTGTCTTCCATTACTTCGATATAGACCTGGCACCAATGACAGGATTTGATGAAAATGTTAGAAAAAATAAAACCCGATTTTGATGTTAACATAATTTGAATGTGCTCCTACTTTGTTAGGAAGTTGGCACAAAAAAAATGTAATTTGAGGGAAAAGTCCAAAGTAGAGCTGAATATTAATGTTAGGTTCACACCTCTATGGTTCACACCTATGGTTCACACAAAGAAACCAGCTGGATGTCAGTCATTTATAAAAAAGAAACCTACTTCGCAAGGATGGAGCATTCACCTTTCATTAGCTATATGTAGTGGAGTGATTCATTGTCTTAATAGAGGATCTTTGGTGCACACATCCAACATATAAAAGCTATCTGCTGTTAAATGCCATTCAGATTTGTCACTGTTTACATTGAGGCATGTTCTGATACTGCAGATTTTGTTTTGTTTACCGGACTATTTTATTTATTTTTCAGATCTATCCGCAATCTCATTGTTTTTTTCAAAGGTGCAACAATGTCTGACGAGTAAGTTCTGTCTTCACACAGTTAAAAGTTATGTTTTCCACAGTGTTTCTTAGCCTATCAAAGATTTTTGTTTCAGAATAATAACATTGTTTGCTTGTATTTCTGATTTCTTTTATCCCAAAAAATCCATGTGGCCATCAAAGTGATGTAAGTTTCACCCAGAACCACTCTGTAACACTCTCCAAAAAGTTGTTTATCGTTGCTTAAATTAATTGTCTTTATCCTTTCTCCTCAGTACATGCCACCCCCGATTGCCCCGAAGGGAGAGCCAAAGGTAATAATACTTATTTGAACTGACAATGTCTTTATGATAACAGTGACATTGTGCTTTTTTGTCAGTATGAGTCTGCGTCTCCGAGTGAGTGAGTGAGTCTTTGTAATAAATGTAAAAACTTTCCTAGAAAAAACAATACTATTCACAATACATTTTAATATATGATTGCTTTTATTTTTGACCGTACCAGGTTTTAAGGGACATATAATAAAATACTGTAATACCATTAATGTATTGTGTATGTAAGTTACATAATAATTCACATTGTCACATTAGTTAGTGGGCAGCTTCAAATAGGTAACTGCTTGAAAATAGGGATCTATTTTAATATAATATATGTTTTAAAATTAAGAGTGTGTTATCGTAAAAAAAATCAGTTGTCATGATATGTCATATTTTTTATATTTTCAGCCCAAAAGCAAGATTTCAGCCTCCCGCAGGCTATCGTTGAAGGTAAACTACCCATGTGTTAACTTTTTACCTTACAAACTATACATCAATCTGTTAATGTGAGGGAGTCATTTTTTATATTAAAACCCAAATGAAATGTAAAAAGGAGCTCTGATGATAATTATAATCATCCAGATCCTGTTACTGACTCGTGCATCAGAACAACTGGAGGCAGAGAAAGAAGCGAGAGAGGAAAATAAGGTCCAGTACCTGGGAGAGAATCTCCCACCGCTCCAGCTCTCCGGTTTGCAATCGGAGGAAATTCAGGTAAAATGTGTTACGAACAATAAGACTAACCATACAAGATTGATTATGTAAATACAGTAATCATGTGTTTCGTTAATGTACTTAAATATAGTGTGGATATTTGTTTGCTGTTTATTTCTTAGAAAATCTGTAAGCAGCTTCATGAAAAGATTGATAAGGTGGACGAGGATCGGTACGACTGTGAGGCCAAAGTCATCAAGAACAACAGAGATGTATTTCATGCACCAGGACACACCAGATTTAAATGGAAAACAAAATAGAAGCACAAGAGAAATTGATTCTGTAAGCACAATGTCACCAACTCAGTCTTTCACCTTCTAGATCCACGAATTGAATCTAAAGGTGCGTGACCTCGGAGGGAAGTTCAAGAAGCCAGCTCTGAGAAAAGTGAGAGTGTCTGCTGACGAGATGCTAAAGGCTCTCTTCGGATCCAAAAACAAGGGCTCCATGGACCTGAGGGCAAACCTCAAGTCTGTAAAGAAAGAGGACATCAAACAGGAGAAGGTACTGCTACTCAGACACAGAGAAAGAACATATATCTGAAACTGAAAAAAACCTAATGTGTTTCTATGCTTTTTGATACCTTAGGAGCTGAACAACGAGGTGGGTGACTGGCGTAAAAACGTGGAGGCCATGTCTGATATGAAGGGCAGGAAGAAGATGTTTGATGCATGAGAAAAAGTAAACGGAGTGAAATTGTTACAATAAATAAATATTTATACATAATGTTAAAAAAAATTGCTGCTGCTGTTTGTTCAAAAGTATGACTTTCATGTGCGTGTAGTTTTTAATATATTCTCAAGTAAACCATATGTTAAATAGAGTTGTGAATACACAGTACTGCCTGATAAAGTTGTTATGTAAAAGAAAATAATAAATATGTACATATTGCCTCTCCTTTTGTTGCAATCACACTTATTCACAATATATTCAAAGTATAGGTATGGAAAGTATTGAAAAACTTGTGTACACATTTAATTTTGACCAAATACTTGAAGTATTCTTCAGTAGTGTTGATATAACGACTAAGTGGGTTAAGGCAAATAGAACAGTCTGATACGTTCAGAAAATAACATCCTTTTAGCCATGGAGCCATTATAAAAAAGGAAAGACAACCCTTGCACCATGATACAAACAACATTGAAGAAGAAATCTTAAATGTTGCCACATGGATATAATGTATGTATATTTGTGTATTTTACAAATATGTATTATACAGAAACTGAATGTAGCCTCTGCTCTAATACTGCAACACAGTACATTTTCACAGCCAGTTGTTTTTTTAAACTGTAAAAATATTTTAAACATTATCTTCAGGTTTTTAATTATAACTGCAGTGGACTTGGCATTGTCCTTGAACAAAGTTATCAGAAGGGCATAGTGACCCTTTATCATGTACGGTGTCACTGCTTAGCTATGTCATTGACTTACAGACAAAAGTACCGAAGATATTTTCTGTCAGAGCTGGGATATACTTAGCCTTTTCTTTGAACTGGAATGAATTCCTCTCCAATAATAAACGGTAAACACTGTCACACATGCAGAAACTGTCCTTGGACTGACTTCAGAAAGTGTCAGTCAAATGGAGTTTGGATGATGGAGCGGTGACAAGATGGTTCGGCAGCCCCCGAGGAATTTATGAGTCCTTGTGAGCATCTGTGAAAATGCAACATGTGCCTGTGTAGACGCCAGTGTACACTCAGACTATTATTCCTGCTGTCCAGGGCATTTTCATCACCATTGTAAAAGCTTAAAATGCTCCCCATGTGTTTCTCTTAAACTATGTTGTTAAAACAGAAATATTGTAGGTGTCCATTTTTCTAACATTGGCTGTCTGTTTGCTGTTTTAACACTGCTGAGGGAAGGCTGTATGCTAAAGGTGTGAAGGTTATTAATCCATAACAACCTTCAGGCAAGCAGTGTGTCTTATGTCACATTAAAATACTAAACCTTTATTTAACATTGACATTGATCTAATACCCCCAAGTAAACACAGAACAGATTGTGCTTTGATGTCTTTTCTAAAGTGATTTCATGGTATTACTCTCTTGTGATGTGCCATTGCTTTTACTGGCATAATAAATTGCTATATTGAAGGCCTAAACATTTGCAAACTGTTGATTTTTCCCCCCCAAACTTGACTTGATTGCGTTCTTGGGGCCTGGGCAAAAAGCTCTAAAGCACCCCGAACAAAGTTGCCAAAAGGCAGCCCCTCGATCAAGTTTCACCTGGAAGTGTGAAATGTTGTGGGCATATGTAGCATGGTGAGACGCACAAAAATAGCTTCTTAGAGGCATATCTTAAATCCAACAGGAAGTCGGCCATGTGATTCACTTAGTTAACTGATATGGATGGTGTGTTTTGGTGTGGCAGGGTGGCTCAATAGCGCCACCTAAAACACTTTACAAAGCAGCCCCTGCTGTACGTTACACCTATTTACAATAACAGGCATGTGAATCATCCATTTTGAGACACTTGCCAAGCCACTGAAATGTGATGTTACTTGGGCATACAATCTCCAACCTGCTCAACTTGTTGTGCTTGTCCTCTGCCAAGGACAAGCGGCAAGAGGAATCAAAACAGGAGAAAGACACAACACATCGCGCAGAAAACCCTGAAGAAGTATCACTGCATCCGCCTGAGGAATGTTCTGATTATGGGAGACCTATGACACAAATGGAGGAGTCTTCACTGCCCGTCACCCCCCCCTGTCAACGCCTTTGAGGATACTCTTCATTCATCCCCCAGCTCTCTCTACTCTCCGCTCACCCTTTCACCCTCACCCTCCCCCCTGGAGTTCGATGACCGCATGAAGGCGATACGCAGGGTTGGCAGCATGTCCTTCACCCCCGCCCCTCAACGACGCCCATCAAAATCACCGAAGCAGAGACGCGCACCATCTCCCCCGGCTTCATCACCATGCCTACCACAATCATCCAAACCAAAACAATACAAGGAAGATGGCAGCAGATTTCCAAACGCCCCTTCCTACAGTATAGCCCTCACCCTGCCCTCCTATGATGAGAGGAGCAGGGTGGTGGATCCTCCCTCCCCTTCAAAGCCTGATAGGGATGTGTGTGTACAAAACGCTGCAAACTGATATTTGCTCGGTCCAGGCTCAAGGGCATATGGCACTCTCAACTTTTTCCAGGACATGCCGGGGCCCTGCCTGCCTGTAGCTTTGCCGATATCTGTGTTGATAGGTAATAGATTAAGAGCAGTGAATCATCTTAGATACAGGAAGTGCTCAAACGTTTGTGTGTTTATCAAATTTAGCAGTGATTCCATGTCAGCCACAGCTTGTTACAAAAAACGTGTTTAACGAACTCAAACTAGCTTTATTAAATGTCAGGTCTTTGGCAGGAAAAACATTTTTAATCAATGAATTTATCACTGAGCACAATCTCGATTTTATGTTTTTAACAGAAACTTGGATTGAACAAAATAACAGTGCAGCTGTTCTTATCGAATCAACCCCTCCCAACTTTAGTTTTATGAGTCAGGAAAGAATGCATAAGAAAGGGGATGGAGTTGCTATTTTTTTCAATGATTCCATTCAATGCAGGAAGACATCTTATGGGAATTTAGCTTCTTTTGAATATGTGGCCCTTCCGCTGAAATGCTCCTCTCGAGCTCTGTTCCTAAATATCTATAGACCACCCAAATACTGTGCAAGCTTTTTTGATGATTTTACCGAGTTGCTGTCTATCGTGTGTATTGACCATTCCTGTGCAAACTTCCCTGCTTTGGGACGCCCCCCAGGCAGTCCAGAGATAGTTACCGGACGCACCCCTCACATAGTAACGTCATTAGTCACGCGCAGAGCCATTTTATTATATGGCTCTGGTCACGCGCAGCGCGCGACCGGTTATAAACAGACTTTCAGCAAGTGAACGGGTCGTTGTGTGTTCCACGTTGTGCGTTTATGAAACTGTAAGTATTGTTACTGTGGCATAGGCACCTGTTTGTATCAATGTTTGCATTTAAATAACAGTTTACAGACAATAATCGGCGTAGTGTGTATATATACTGTTTACAGTACTTGTTTGCCGTAAGTGTGACTGGCTGCCTGTTAAATGTTCAGTAGTTTAACTTTCTGTCCGCTGTGACTGTCGATATAATTATTTTTGGTATGTACGATCGCCATATATTTCCAGTCTTGTGCTATTGCGGTGAGCTGTGTATAACTGTATGCCTCTGTCAGCCGCCATTACCGCATGTACAACGTTATCCCCCTGTAAGCCGCCATTATCACGTGTTAAAACACTTGCACTTGTTGCGGTCAAGTGAGCCCTCTTGCGGGCATTTCTGGTATTGCTTACCATGAAGCTGACTGTTCCAGCATTATATGTACTGTTCCTAGCAGGAAATCGTAATGTAACTATTAGGATTAATATTGTCATTCACTAATTTGATCTACTCTGTTTATTTATATTTCATAGATAACCACAACATAACAAACGAACATCCTGTAACACCATAACTCCTGTGAACAATTAAAGTTTGGATATCTACACCCCCTGGATTGCTGCAATCTTTCTGACAGAAGATTTAGGCCAGACTTCTTTCTATACACCAGCATTCATTATTCATAATTTCACAAGTGGTCCTTCGAGCCGGAGGTATACAAGCTGCGCTATGGCCACATCCAGGGAGCTGTATGATGGGCAGCCACCGCTCATTCCCCGTCCCAGCAGAGTGCGGCGCATTCCCGGACATCTGGAGGACTTCGAGCTCAGCTACCCACATCAACCTCTTTATCCCCCCCCATATGAGGCCAGTCTCATCACCGAGACCAGCATATGACGAGTCGCCCAGCCAAGGAGGACATGTCGGTTACCCTGTAGCAGCACATCACCCTGTTGGCACTCCAGATCACAACTGGCAACTATTAGAGGCACGCTGGCAGACGATTAGCAGGCAGATGCAAGAGCTAGAAACTGAAATGGACAAGGTAAAGATCATCTCACATCCACAAAGTGCCTTGGCTTATCCTTCATACCACTCACAACAATTTACAGCATACCAGAGTCGCTACTGCAGCCTCCCTCAACTTGAGCTGTGTTCTCCCATGAACCAACTTATGGAAGAAACAGGTTTACTCTCATATCCTCAAGCACATCCTGCTCCTCTCCAAACGTCTCCTTCAAAGTCTCCACCTCAAACACAGGCTGATCCTCCTGCACCGCAGACACAGCAGACTTCCCCCGTGGCGCCTGTTACTTCTGCTGAACAGATGCAGCCTGCACCTCCTATGGCTCCAAGAGCTTCTGCAACAGACACGCATTCTGCACTCACTGCTTCGCTGATGCAGCCTGCGTCACCTGTCACTTCTCCTGTTGTGGTACAGCCTGAACCTCCTGCCTTGCTAATACATCCAGGTGTTATTCCTGCTCCTGTTGCATACCCGCAGTCTGCGCCAGCTCCACCGGAACAGCCATATAATGCACATCACCGGTACTGGCAGACGGCTCCACAGCCATATCAGCCTATGCTGCACCACCTCGAGTACATCACTCCTACATGATGCAGCCTCCTGCACCGGCCTGGCCTACAGCTAATCCTAACATACCCAGTATGATGGAGATGGCGATTGCATCATCATATGGTATCCCAAAGCCAAGATTAACCATCTTCAGCTCAGGAAAAGAAACTGACTTTCTTATGCTCAAAAAGGGATTGGACAGTGTGCTTGGCCCTCACCAACACCTGTCCGAGGATTATAAATACCAAATCCTCCTCGATCACCTCACCTTTCCATCTGCACTCCAGGTAGCTAAGAGGTACATCAACAGCCCGACTCCATACACAAGTGCCATGCAAACCCTGACCCAACGCTATGGCCAGCCAAGACAACTGGTGCAGGGAGAGCTTAAAGCCATCTTGAACGCTCCAGCAGTGAAAACTGGTGATTATCAAGCGTTTGAAGACTTTGCAGCATCAGTTGGCACTCTGGTGGGAATGCTAAACACCATGGAAGGCCCCTCATCATCCGAGCTGAGATGTAAATGGTAAATGGACTCTACTTATATAGCGCTTTATCCAGTCTTTTTAAGACCCCTCAAAGCGCTTTACAGATGTCATTCACCCATTCATACAGAGCAGTGTATCTTACTTGCTCTAGGACCTAACATTCACACACACCGTTGGCCATGCCATCGGGAGCAACTCAGGGTTAAGTATCTTGCCCAAGGACACATCGACATGTTGACTGCATGGGCTGGGATCGACCCCACAACCTTCTGGTTGAAAGACGACCACACTCCCTCGCAGCCACAGTCGCCCGTAGATGTGGGTCTCATGTTGACACCTTAATCAGCAAACTCCCTCCTCACTTCAGAGACTCGTTCGTGGAATACTGCTTCAACAGAGGAATCATCCAGAGCGGTAGTAACCTCACATATACTCTCCCTGACCTAGCTGCGTGGCTCGAGAGGAAAGTCCAGACATTACAGGTTTCACGTCGAATAACTGTCACATGTCCAGAGCCTGCACACACAGACAGTAAGGAGCGAAGAGTGGCTAAGCCACAGAGAGTCAGACCTGCTACTATACTGCTTGGTAGCCAGCAGGGAGCCCAACACTCTAATCCAGGGGTGCCTAACCAGTCGATCGCGATCGACCGGTCGATCGCGGGGAGATTCCCAGTCGATCGCGAGATGTGTCTAAAAATAGAACAATAATATTCAGTTTTATCGTTAATGTCCTATAACATAATCTTCCTGTGCCAGAATAATGCACTTGAACGCATCAAAGCTTTGTGATTGGCCGGCGTGACCCCATGTGTCGGGGCGTGGCTTGTGGGCAGTGGGCTGACGTGACGTGGCAGTGGGCAACGTTCGCTGACGTTGTCCGTGTCAACAGGAGTGACAGTCCGCACACACACAAGACCGCAAAAAAGCACCAAATATATCATTTTCACTCGGAGTGGGAGGATGATTAGTTTTGTGTCTATTCCAATTCAAAGTCCATCTGTCTCATGTGCAATGCGAGCGTGGCTTTATCGAAGAAGGGTAATTTAGGAGCGGCATTTCAAAACAGTGCACAAACGCTACGAGACGGAATTCCCTCCTAATTCTGCCCTACGCTCCCAAAAGGGGAGGGGCCTGAAAGGACAGCTAAATGCACAGCAGTCCATTTTCACCAGGCTCAACAACAAGAGCAAGGCTGCTACCAGAGCATCTTAACGTGTCAGTCACGTTCTTGCGAAACACATGAAGTCTTTCAAAGACGGCGAAGTTGTGAAAGAAGCATTCCTGGAGGCTGCTGACGCACTTTTGGGGGACAGTAAAAATAACAGTAGAATTTCAACAGGTTTTTGATATAATAAAAACTCAAGTTAGATATCGTTATTAATCAGCTGTAAGTTTTAGTTTGTTTGAACTTATTCATTATAATTATTGTACAAAATGGTATAAGAATGCAAACATTAAGATCTGTTCTGTTTAAATTGATTATAGTCTATTATCAATTCAGGTTAAGAAACTAGTATTGCTTGCATCCTATTTTAAAGGCATTTATTTTTATACTCTACTAAAATGCAACAACAAAAAAAAGGGTTTGATTCTATTAATGTTGTCTTTTTTATTGCACTGTTGCAGCAGATTCCTGTAGCTTCAGATCTGAGTTGTCTTATTAGTAAGCCTAATTTATACTTTTGTAGCAACACTATTTTTATATAATGGCAAAGAAAGGGTTCAGAGTCTTTCCTTTTATTCCTGTGTCATATGTGGCAGCACTGTTCAATGTTTCTTGAAAACATTACCCACTGTGGGTGTGACGTGTGGATAAACTCCAACTCTGTATCAACAACACTGTTGTGTAACTTCAGTTGAATACTTGTATGTGTGTAGATTAGAAAGAGGTAAGATAAAGGATCTGCAGTATTTTATGAAGTATTCATCGTACAAAGGTCAGTTTTATACAAGTAGAAGTGTGTATTTACCTGGTAGTAGGCTGTCAGTAATGGCTACGCCTCTCTATTTGGACTGGTAGATCTCGGCAGACTGGCAACTTTAAAAGTAGCTCTCGGTTCAAAAAAGGTTGGGCACCCCTGCTCTAATCCATCACCTGCTGCTAGCACTCCTGCCCAGCTAAATAAACGTGTTCGTTTTAAGAACCAGGAGCACTACCTCAACGCCTGTGCCGACTTTGCTAAACTCACTAACACTGAAAAGGCAAGCTGGATAAAGGATAACAGGAAATGCTGGAGGTGTGGGAGAGGGCACACGCCTGAAAACTGCACCTTAAAGAATCCATGTGCAACCTGTGGACAACAACATCTTATCATACTGCACGATGTGGCCCTCACAATGACTGTACTGACTGTAACTGCTTCCTCCAGTGTGGTCTTCACAAACCAAGTGAGCCGGTCAGGCAAAGTAATGCTTAAGGTTGTCCCTGTCCGACTACAGAATGGAAAGAAAACCCTGGACACGTACGCTGTACTGGATGATGGCTCTGAAAGAACTATCATACTACCAGCTGCTGCCCGCCATCTCGGCCTCCTCGGACAGGAAGAGGTAATATCCCTCAGGACAATTAGGCAAGAAATAGTGCAGGTGAAAGGAGCTACTGTGTCATTCAAAGTGTCAGCCATGACGAAGAAAGGTGCGAAACACAATATCAGTCAGGCCTTTACAGCTGCCGAGCTGAATCTGGCAGAGCAGTCACGTGCAGCTGAGTCCCTGAAGCAAAAATACAAACATCTTAGGGATATCCCACTGCCGTCCTTTAATAAGGTCAAGCCCATGCTGCTCATCGGGTCAGATAACACACATCTGATCATCCCCAAACAGCCTGTGCGCACAGGCCCAACAGGCTGCCCAGTGGCTGTATGCACGGCACTCGGATGGACTATACAGGGACCAGCCAGCTTCCATCAGCAGTCAGCAGGTGAGAGCAACTGTCTCCATTCATCCTTCCTCTCCCCTTCAGAGGAGCTGCATCAGAACGTGGAGAAACTTTGGCAGCTCGACACACTCCCCTTCAGGAGTATCAATGAAGTGACTCTCTCTGGTGAGGATAAAGTAGCCATTGAACTACTGGAGGACAAGACTGTACGTGTCAAAGTTGACGATGTGTCTCGCTACGCCACTCCACTACTGCGTAAGCAAAGTGCCCCCTCTCTGCATGCACCTCCTACTGCAACAATGGCTCTTCTAAGAGCTACAGAACGTCGTCTGTCTATCAACCCTAAGCTATCAACAGTCTACAATGAGAGGATCCATAAGCTGGAAATGGCTGGTTATGCAGTGAAGATTAGCTCTGAAGAAGTGAGCAACTCCAAGGAGTCATGGTTTATTCCCCACCATCTTGTACAACACAATGGTAAACAGAGTCGTCTTCAACTGCTCCTTTAACTACCAACAAGCCTCTCTTAATGACAATCTGCTTCGTGGACCGATCCTGGGCTCAGCGCTGCTTGGCGTGCTGCTGAGGTTTAGAGAGTATTCTGTGGCCATCAGCGGAGACATACGTGGCATGTTTCATCAAGTGCGTCTCCTCCCTGAAGACCAACCACTGCTCCGCTTCCTGTGACGAGACGGGGAGACAGATTGCAGTCCAGATGTCTACGAGTGGCGTGTACTGCCCTTCGGGACCACCTGTAGCCCATGCTGTGCTTCATACGCCCTGCAGCGCCACGTGAACGACCACCGCAAAGACAATGAAGAGGTGGTTAAATCTGTGATGCACTCATTCTATGTGGATAACTGTCTCCAGTCTCTGCAGTCCCCGGACCAGGTCAGAAAACTCATTGACAAGCTGAGATCAGTCCTTGCCAGCGGAGGCTTCGAAATAAGACAGTGGGCCAGCAACATGCCTGACGTTATCTCACACATCCCTACAGAAGCCAAATCAGCTGAGTGTGAGCTATGGCTAAACGCTAATAAGACCGACCCCCAAGAGTCTGCGCTCGGTCTCCTGTGGTGCTGTAGTACCGACACACTGGGATACAAGCACTGTGCTATTCCTTCAGCTGAACCCATCTTGAGGTACGTGTACCGAGTACTGGCCAGCCAATATGACCCTCTCGGCTACATCATCCCCTTTACCACACGGGCCAAGGTCATAGTTCAAGCCCTCTGGAAGAAGGAAAGTGGATGGGATGCACCACTGCCAGACGAACTTCTCCCTGTGGCAAGCCTGGGAAAGAGCTGCCAAATCTCCAGAAAATCAGCCTGCCACGGTGCTACACTTCTGATGTTCCCGACATTACCTCCGCCGACCTACACATCTTCTCTGACGCCTCTGAGAGAGCATACAGCTCCGTCGCCTACCGGTTTGAAGGAGGTTTGAAGACGACAGAGGTAGAGTGCAGGTGTCATTCGTGATGGCAAGGTCACGTGTAGCCCCGAAGAAAAAGCTCTCAATACCCCGCTTAGAGCTGTGTGCGGCCCTGACTGGAGCACAGTTGGCCAAGCTGCTGCATACCGAGCTGACACTGTCAATACACAAAACAATCCTGTGGTCAGATTCCACTACAGTCCTCCACTGGATTCAGTCTGACTCCCAGCAATACAAAGTGTTTGTAGGGACAAGGATAGCGGAAATCCAGGAGCTCGTCGGAACCGACAGCTGGAGATACGTCCCCTCTGAAGAGAACCCCGCTGACGACATTACAAGGGGAAAGCATCTACTGGACTTAGCTAAGCCCAATCGCTGGACATCTGGCCCGACTTTCCTTCAACTGCCTCCAGCCGACTGGCCAGCTAACCCCGTGGTTAGTTCTGCACACACAGAGGAGACGCGCAACACCACTTTCTGCGGCAACATTGCAACAGCCGAGCCTGCGGCTCCAGATCTAACACTCTTCAAATCATGGTCTGAACTACTTCAAGTCACCTACCAATCCATGCACGGGGCGGCTACTCCACGCATGACTGCATCCAGCCGACTAGAGACACAGGTTATCCTGCTTAAAAGAGCACAGCAAGAATTCTTCCCTGCTGAAACGACCGCACTACAATCAGGGAAACAACTCAGCCCTAGTAGTCGCTTGCTGCCACTCTCTCCTGTATACGACCAGGCTGTAGGACTAATCAGAGTGGGAGGCCGTCTCCGGAAGGCAGAGAAATACCTGAAAGAGGACACCATACATCCTATAATCCTGGCTCCAGACCACCCTGTCACCAAGCTGATTATACAGGACTACGACAAACGTTTGCTGCACGCAGGTCCCGATCGTGTATTCGCAGAGCTAAGGAGAACCTACTGGATACTTCGCGGACGGCAAGCAGTCAAGAAACATCAATATGCCTGCGTTGAGTGTCGCAAGTGGCGGAACAAACCTGTCATTCCTAAAATGGCAGACTTACCCGCTGCACGGCTACGCATAAACAAACCACCATACTGGTCCACTGGTGTCGACTGCTTTGGCCCATACACCATAAAGATAGGCCACCGACACGAGAAAAGGTGGGGCATTATATTCAAGTGCCTTACTACACGGTGTGTACATTTGGACCTTTTATGTAGTATGAGCACTGATGCCGTCCTGCTCGCGCTGCGATGCTTCGTGGCGAGAAGAAGGAAACCCTACGAGATCCTCTGCGACCGAGGAACCAACTTCCGGGGAGGTGACCGCGAGCTGCAAGAAGCCTTTGCGGCACTCGAGCCAAGTCTGAAGGAACAGCTAGCTGAACAGAGTATCACCTTCAGATTTAATCCACCACTCGCTCCACACTTCGGCGGCACATGGGAACGGGAGATCAAAACTGTCAAAGCTTCACTGCAAGTGGTCCTGAAAAACCAAACGTTGCCTGAAGAGGTCCTGATGACTGTGCTAGTGGAAGTGGAGGGAATACTCAATTCCATGCCCCTCGGCTATGCGACCTCTGACATTGCTGATCCAGACCCCATTACACCCAATCTCTTGCTCATGGGGCGGCGAGATGCATCATTGCCACAAGCAGTGTATGGCGACTGCGATCTGCTTGGGTGTCGCCGCTGGAAACACAGCCAGGTCTTGGCCGACCACTTCTGGGCCCAGTTTACACGTAACTATCTCCCTAACCTTCAGCTCCGTCGAAAGTGGCACACTCTTACGCCAGACCTAACCACAGACCAGGTCGTCATGATTGTCGACCCGCAACTGCCAAGGGCTCTCTGGCCAGTTGGACGGGTAACCAAAGTGAACCCGAGCGATGATGGTAGGATACGCTCTGCAGAGGTGAATATTAAAGGCACTACATATATTCGACCTGTGGCGAAACTCATCGCACTTCCTGAAATGCCAGAGGACTGACATGCCTACCCCACATTCTAGCAGGGACATTTGTGCTATTACAAATTCATCTAGTGAATTTGGGGGCGGCTGTGCAAACTTCCCTGCTTTGGGACGCCCCCCAGGCAGTCCAGAGATAGTTACCGGATGCACTCCTCACACAGTAACGTCATTAGTCACACGCAGCGCGCGACCGGTTATAAACAGACTTTCAGAAAGTGAACGGGTCGTTGTGTGTTCCACGTTGTGCGTTTATGAAGCTGTAAGTATTGTTACTGTGGCATAGGCACCTGTTTGTATCAATGTTTGCATTTAAATAACAGTTTACAGACAATAATCGGCGTAGTGTGTATATATACTGTTTACAGTACTTGTTTGCCGTAAGTGTGACTGGCTTCCTGTTAAATGTTCAGTAGTTTAACTTTCTGTCCGCTGTGACTGTCGATATAATTATTTTTGGTATGTACGATCGCCATATATTTCCAGTCTTGTGCTATTGCGGTGAGCTGTGTATAACTATATGCCTCTGTCAGCCGCCATTACCGCATGTACAACGTTATCCCCCTGTAAGCCGCCATTATCACGTGTTAAAACACTTGCACTTGTTGCGGTCAAGTGAGCCCTCTTGCGGGCATTTCTGGTATTGCTTACCATGAAGCTGACTGTTCCAGCATTATATGTACTGTTCCTAGCAGGAAATCGTAATGTAACTATTAGGATTAATATTGTCATTCACTAATTTGATCTACTCTGTTTATTTATATTTCATAGATAACCACAACATAACAAACGAACATCCTGTAACACCATAACTCCTGTGAACAATTAAAGTTTGGATATCTACACCCCCTGGATTGCTGCAATCTTTCTGACAGAAGATTTAGGCCAGACTTGTATACACCAGCATTCATTATTCATAATTTCACAATTCCTGTGTTTTCTTTGAAAGCTCTATTTCCGTTCACAAAAATGTTCAAAAAGAGGTAACCACAAAGCGATATTTAACTGAAAATACTAGGGAAATGTTTACTCAGAATTTTTCTTCCACACTTGCCCCTGCTAACATCTCAGTAAATTAGCTAGTAGATCATTTTAATTAAAAATGTTATAGATGTCATTGCTCCAACTAAGGAAAAGGAAGTGTCTGGCAAGAAAATATCTCCATGGAGAAAGGCCATGACCGTGAAAACAGAAAAAAGAGAATGTCGAAAAGCTGAACGCAGGTGGCGAAAAACAAATCTCCAGGTTCACTTTGAAATCTAAAGAGAGACTTGGCCTTTATAATTTGGAATTGAAAAACGCACAGTCTTTCTTCTCTGACATCATTACCAAAAACAACGCATGTGCCTTGTTTGCTACCGTCGACAGACTAACTAACCCCCTAGTGTCAGTAGCCTCTGAATTTCTATCCACCAGGGCGTGCAATGATTTTGCCTCCTTCTTCACTGACAAAATTCAGAAAATCAGACAAGCAGTCAGTGCCTCTGCATCAGGTACAGCAAATGTGTTGTCCCTATCTCCACTTAACATCAATTCAGACATCATGACACAATTCCATCAGATTAATGATAAAAACCTAGAGGACATTATTCAACTTCTGAAATCCTCCTCCTGCTGCCTTGATATTATTCCAACAGGATTTTTCAAAGACGTGTTTGCCTTGCATGGCCTCAGATCTACTTCATATAGTAAACAAATCTCTTCACTCAGGTATTTTTCCACAGGCCCTGAAAACTGCAGTCATTAAACCGCTCTTAAAAAAGAATAATCTAGATGCTTCAGTAATGAACAATTACAGGCCCATATCAAACCTCCCATTTCTAGGTAAAATCATTGAAAAAGTTGTTTTTCAACAGTTGAGTAATTTCTTGCATTTAAATAACTGTTTGGATGTGTTCCAGTCAGGCTTTCGTCCAAACCACAGCACTGAGACTGCTCTTGTAAAGGTCTTCAATGACATCCACTTAAACACAGACAGTGGCAGAACTTCAGTGTTAGTATTATTAGAATGGGACAAGTAATTTGACTGAAACCTTAAAACTGAACTAACTGACTGCTAGGGTTAACTTTGATTTAAACATTTGTAGAATACTAAGAGCTTTATTGAGTAGGTGTAACTGTATTAAGGGTTAAACTCATAACTTTATAACTTAGGGTTTAATGTAATTGTAAAACCATTGGGCCACTGAAAAGATACAATAACAACTCAGGATGGAGCCAGTCTCGATTGAGGCCCATCAGCTCTGATCTGCGGCCACTTCCCCCCCCCCCCCCCCCCCCATAAACTGTATTTAAATCTCATCCTGGTCACTGACCTGCCAGTGTGCAACTCGATTTTGACAGGATAACAACTGGTGACTTCTAGAATTGTGTGAGTAACATTCTGTTTTTAGACTTCTCTGTTTCAGTGTGTGTACTCTATAAATGCTCTGTAGTTGATCTGACTGAAATTGTGATTTTTAAATCTCAAAACCGCTACAGTATCTGTCAGGCAGAAACTTGGGACAAGTAATTTGACTGAAACCTTAAAACTGAACTAACTGACTGCTAGGGTTAACTTTGATTTAAACATTTGTAGAATACTAAGAGCTTTATTGAGTAGGTGTAACTGTATTGAGGGTTAAACTCATAACTTTATAACTTAGGGTTTAATGTAATTGTAAAACCATTGGGCCACTGAAAAGATACAATAACAACTCAGGAGGGAGCCAGTCTAGATTTCCTTTTGAGGGCCACCAGCTGCAGAGAGTTAACTAATTAAAGGGACGTGGCCCCACAGCTGTGAGAACTCAGCAATCAGGTGTCCATTTTAGACTAATACAAATAATGTGAGCTGGCAGTACAGACAAACATTTCAGTAAAACTAATCTGTGACTAAAATGGCCAATAATTCTATATTTACATTTTCAATAGTCTGTCATGTTAAAAAACAAACCCTGATTTTCTTTATATTATAAGGTAGAGGTTATTCCAATCAACTTCTATTATCTTTGGTAGGTGGCAGTGTAGGCAAAAAAGCAGTTATTCTGCGAACAGTTTTTTGTTTCAGTTTTCTCATATTGGATTGTTTATTCATATGCCAACACTGTCTGTGATAAGTTGGGCAACTCAAACATACCTGTCAGAATATAACTAACAGTCCTTCTCTGACAACACTAGATGATGCACTCGTAAAATTAACTAAGAGCTATTTTCTTGTTTTAAGTCTTTAGCCAGACAGTAAACAGCCAGAATATCTCAGATTTGTGATATCAGTTGAGATTGCTCAGTCAACTACTTGCATTGCATTTTATATGAACATTTATAAAAGCACACATACTGCATGGAAATTAAGGCAAAAGTAATTTATTTCTCAGATTGGTGAAAGCATGGTAAAAAAGAAAAAACTCTACCTGAGAGAAGAGACTCGTACAACAAAGCAGTTCGTCTGCCAGCACAAAGAGATGGATGAGGTATATCTAAAAATAACAATGTAAGAGATGGAGTAGTAAAAGAGGAAAGCATGAAACATTCTGGTCAAAACAGAAACCACATTTCAAAGTTTCAATGCTTTGCTACATGAACAAGGGGAAATCACACTCATCTTGGCAGTGTTACAAACCAAAACCACCAGCAGTCTGGCATCACACCAGAATTTGGTGTTTTTGGTTGCCCTTAAAAAGAGAAACAATTCAACATGTATTACATTTCAAAGTCTAAGAAAGGCACAAGACATGTAACTGGAATGTGGACAATCAGAGAAAATGCTGTATTGCCAATAAACAGTATGAAAAAAATACACGATATGTTTCAGCTACAATATTTCCTGTATTACTCTATTTACTGCTGACAGTAAAAATAACCAAGTTTCAAGACAGATTTTGTGATTTGTGAAATTACAATTATTTTTCTGAAAAAATAACTATTACCTTTAGCAAATAGACTAATACAAATAATGTGAGCTGGCAGTACAGACAAACATTTCAGTAAAACTAATCTGTGACTAAAATGGCCAATAATTCTATATTTACATTTTCAATAGTCTGTCATGTTAAAAAACAAACCCTGATTTTCTTTATATTATAAGGTAGAGGTTATTCCAATCAACTTCTATTATCTTTGGTAGGTGGCAGTGTAAGCAAAAAAGCAGTTATTCTACGAACATTGGATTGTTTATTCATATGCCAACACTGTCTGTGATAAGTTGGGCAACTCAAACATACCTGTCAGAATATAACTAACAGTCCTTCTCTGACAACACTAGATGATGCACTCGTAAAATTAACTTAAATATTTAAATTATTTCCAGTTTAAGGCTTTTCCTGAATCTGTAAAAACAGCACTTTGTGGCCCCAGTAGGCTACCTGAATTCACAAAAGAAGGCACATTAAGTATGTAATGGAACAAATAAGTGGGGGGAACTTAACAGGTAAACGGAGGTACACTTAAAATAACTTTAAACTCAAATACAAATCCTACACATTGACAAAATAAATATAAAGTTTTCCATAATTTACAACATGAAAAATAAGGCTGTTTACCATAAAGAAAATCTGCTGTCAAACACAGACATTTCCTTTTGTCACAAACAAAACAAACAGTTAAGACTCATGTGCAAGACTTGTGATGATATAGGTCACTTGTGTGTATACATCCTTGAACTTCCATTTTTAATTCACGTTTTTGTCTTTGGATCAGAGAAGTTCCTTTGCAGTAGGTAGTGCAGATGATCTTTGCCTCAGTCAGGTGACATGGTGTAACTTCATTTATAATATCACACAGTCGTTGGCACTCATGCACCAGTACCCTAGCAGTAGTCAACAGAACATCCAGTGTAATAAACTCTATCAGTAGTATTTCCTTAACAACGATTGTCACTGCTGTGGATTGCTTTTTCTCCACACAGCTCACATAATGAAGACAGTATCCGATCTTTGGACACCGTGGCTGTCGGTCAGCAGGTTGTATGGTTATGCATGTATCAGGCTCTGGCCTTAAAGTGCTCTGGTTGCCGTGGTTGTAACCGTGGCGATCATTGTTATGGTGCAGTGAGCAGGTGACAGGCTCAACTGTGCCTAGGCAACACACGGCGGTTCCACATGCCACGTTTGGAGTGATAGTGGTGGAAGAACTTCCTCAAGTAGAACCTCTCCACCTCCAGTCCTGCCTGGAGAATCCTGAAGAAGAAAGGAGGGGAGAGTTTGGTAACTTACATCTATATTAAGGTTAATAATTGGCCAGCACTCAATGAAAACAGGCGCAATCTGTTTATTCTTGCGGCGCAGATTCCCATATAAATACAAAACTTAAACCACTTATTAACAGAAATACGTATACTAGTTGGTTTGATTTACATTATTTTGTTCAACATTAGATTTCGACTGATTTACTCGATATATATTTTTGTATTATAAAAAAGCCATGTGAAGGTAAATGCCGCCTTGTTTTTTCATCTGGTTATTAAAAATGGCTTCTAACCTAAACATAATAATAATAATAATCTTGCAACATAATGCAGCGTGAGGTCCCTGCTCACTGTAATATACACTGCTTTAGGAACATTAAAAAATTGAATTACGCAAGGACACTCTTACACTGTAGTGTATCACCTGTATCACCTGTTCGTCCATTCAAGCAGTTATTTTGTAATCCATCTGCTCCACTCAGTGTTTACACACACCAAGAGTTCTTTTAAACAACTTTAAAGGGACATGCATGAACTTGTTAAAGTCGAGTATGTAAGTGGAGAGACCATTATTACTGTTGGTAACAGCAACACTGAGTGGCAACACATATTTCAAATTGGCCTATTAAAAAAAACATTATTCACAATAAAGTGGAACAAAAAACATGAATTTAAAATATAAAAAAAAATATGAGCAAGAAAACAATTAATCTGAAGAAACAAGGAGAAACCTGTCGAGGAGCTCCCAGTCTTCTCCTCCCCAGCGCTCTTTGAATTCCTTGGTGTTCATTCCTCCCACTGCGTCCAGATCTGACTTAAAGATGCCCAGCAGGCCAAAACCGTTGACCTCCCAGTAACCTGCAACACAGGTGGTATGTCCACATGTTCATATATATGTAAAATTGCCTACATCCACAATTCTCCTAAAAGTGCAATACTTACCAGAGCGCTGCTTTTTATGTTTGAACATTAAATCAATGTGAGCAAAACATTACTTTTTATTCATCTACCCCTGCCCCTTGTTACAACCTGGCAAGTCTGATTGTGTGACTGTAGGGATTAAACTGTTAATCCTACATGTCAATGCAAATTAAGAGCTTTGAGGTTTCGGTGTGGATTCCTTCCCATCTGTGGATGCAGACAACTTGCTTGTTTTAATACTGACTACCTGTGTCGACAAAGGAGCATTGAAAAAGTGGGCTTCCTATGATGGGTCAGTCGTAACACAACAAGCACAGAACAGCGTACAGTAATCTGTATATATAGAACAGGCACAACACAAAAAGTCTAGGAATGGCAGCTTTTCATGTCAAACCAAACCAGCCAATTTTTTCTGCAACGAAAGGCTTCCAGCACTGTCCCCTCTTCAAGTTTACCTTCTCTCTCCAACTTTGCTGTACATCTAACAGGGTTCCTACCCTCACTCCTGACTACTAACTAATTTAACAATATCTCACTGACTTAACTGAAGATGGGAGAATCTGCATCTACCTTTGGCATCTAATGGCGTAGCCCCGCAGGACAGTCTCAGCACTATTGGAGCAAACGCCATGTATCCCTCCACACAGTGCTTCCTGATGGTGTCAATGATGGAGGGAGGGAAGTGGATGTGGAGGTCGCACAGAAACACAATGCTGTGGTCATCCTTAGGGAGAATGAGAAGAGAAAATCAATACCAATATGGTTTTACTTTTATTTACACGTGTCTATTCATTTGAAAACTCTGTTGCAATACTCACATCTATAAGATCGATTCCTGCTTGCAGACCCGCAGAGCGCTCAAAGTTTCCGCTCAGCTTCACATACTGGTACCTGATATGTTCAACGGGCAACATTTTAGAACAAATATATTCTGTGTGATCGTTTTATTACATTAAGATTGAACATCAAAGTGAAGAAAACACACACACATACCTGGGGAGTGAGGACTTCTGCAAAGCCTTCCTCACATCAATGTCAGTGCTGTTGTAGTCGGCGATGATGAGGTTGAAGTTGGAGTCTCTGGTTTCTCTGAAAAGTTGTTCCATATCTGCAATCAGCTGCTGCACCCAGCGAGCCTGGTTTTTCACTGAAAGTTGTATAGACAATTGGTCAGTAATGCATGAATAGACAAAAAGTGAAAAAAACAACATCAGTATTTAACTGTCATACTGAATAGACACTCAAAAATATGAATTGAGTAAGACATTTTGATGGTACTATTATCATATAATACATCTGATGAAGACAAAACAACAGAAGATAAACAGCATACATGTATCTTTAACTAAAGAAAAAGGAACTATTGAAAATGTTATCTACAATCAGTATTTCAATGTCAACTCCCTTGACTATATTATTCTTCAAAAAATAGACGATACTGACATTAATACACCATATATTTGATTACTGAAGTGAATAAAGACCTCTGGGCACTATTATTTAGCCTCAGTGTAAACTGAACAATTTCATTGTATAAGACGAGTTCAACAGTCTTGCCATGACACAATCTCCAGGGTGCCAGAAGGTTTTTCTCTTTGATATTTCATTTTAAGGATCTAATCCCGTAAGGCCTGTCCTTATTTCTGTGCATTTAAAAGATTGGCTTCTGTAGTTTCCTCTTTTACAAAAGGTCCACTGAGGTCTGAGTTCTTATTCAGCTCTGAATCTGCCATGGATGGCAATATAATGGAGGTCTTGTTTTCTTTGAGAAACAAAATAATGACTAGGATGCTGTGGTTGGGACATGACTAATAATAGTAATATGAGACCTTCTACAGGTAATTGGGTCAAAGAAGTAAGTGCTGACATATTGAGAGTTGTTTGTTATCCATTACAGTGAAATGTTTATCACCCAAGTACCTTGAAGATTATTGTACTTGTGACTCAAAAAGATGGTGAAATGAAATCACAAATGAACAAAAGGGGCGTGTGAAGGGTGGATGTACCTGGTACTATGAAGTGAACGGTGGCCTCTGGGTTCCAGCGGAAGCCCACCGGGTTACACAGCACCAGCTGAGGTTCCTGTCGTTGGAAACGGAAGTCCTTGCTGGGCTGCCTGCTATGGTGGATCAGAGTGTAGATGTATTGCGATAGGCGCAGCAGCTGGCCGTTTGCATCTTTCAGCTCAAGCTCCACAAGGTAGCGGCTGCCCTGCATCCCGTCCACACGCTTCACAACGTTAACCACACGCACCAACGTGAACTGCCTTCAAGGACAGAAAGAATATAAAAAAACATAGTGAAATGCACTTTTAATATATACAGGTTTTTAATTGTATACATGAAGAAGGTCAGATTGTACTTGCTATTATATTTAATTGAAAGGTTGATGTGACAACGTTTTTTTTCTCCATTTATTATATACTTTAATTGTTTTTTCACTTAGGTCAGTGGGTCTCAAACTATGGGTCAAGCTCACCAAGCTGTTCTAAAATGGATGTGAAAGGTTGTTACATAATAAACAAGAAGGAAGTTAAAAAAAACATGAAGTATTTCTGCTACACAAATACTGTAAGGCTGTTTTTTCTTTTTGGTTTTCTTTTATACTGAAATATGTATTCAAATTAAAATATTTCACATCCCACAGAGATACCAGTATTCATCTTGCAGAAGTTAGGCAATCGAAAAAAATTGCATTCTATCTTTTTACCCATTTTATATTTCTAATTATTGAAAAAAACTCATTACATTGAGGCTGATTTCTGCCATGAAAGCAACTCAACATTCAGGTGATGCAGTCCCTGGTGCAAATACAAAAAAAGTAGTTACCCATGGTGCTTTTGGTTGAGTTGGTCCATGAAAGCCTGGACTATGGGCAAAGCGTCACGGGGCTGGAGGAGCACGTTGCCTGAGATGTTGCATTGTAGGTCGATCCAGTCCGACCGCTGAGCCTGAAGGTCCAGGTGGTTGACCTGGAAAGTCTGGCTCCAGTTGACCTCAGTGTCAAACACCGGCGCTGGGGTAAGATCCTCGTCATCCGTACCTTCAAAGTCTTCCCCTGGTCCCCACAGAGAGTCTCTCTGTCTCACTGCCCTGTTACGATCCTCCTCTTCTTCCCCTCCTTGGTCCTCCACTTCTCTCGTAACTGACTGTTTTTTCTCCATTTTGTCTTCAGCCATCATTTTTGCTCTGTTAATGCTATCTTCTAGATCCTGCAGAGGCATTTTCTTCTTTCGCTCCCTATCCCTAAGTTTTTTTTTGGTATATGTGTCCCTCTGATTTAGCATTACTACAGAGTGCTCAATGTCCTTCTTAGGAGTCGCAAATTGGTGATTGGCAGTTGGCTGAAGATCGATCTTTACTAACTTCCGCTGATGGTCCACTGTGGGTTTTTCAGGCGGAGGAGCATCCTCCTTAGCCTTCTCTAAGGGTTGAAGCTTTGTGTCTTTGAGTCTCTGATTTTTGGTACTGTTCATTTTAAGGGACCTCTGTATATTAAGCCGTTTAGAATGTAGCTGCTCTGAGGGGACTGCTGGTGGTTCCATTGGTTTAAGCTGCTCTCTGTCCAATGACTTCATGGGATTTGTCTTTCCTGGTCTCACAGCGGTATTTACTGATTCAGGCTTTCGTTTCTTTGCTGGTTTTAACTTTCCCTTCAGTTTGATCTTTTCTACTTTTTCAATCCGGCTCTCCAGCTTTAACTGTGAGCGGTTGTGTTGCAGAGGCGGTTGATGTTTTGAGGCTGGTGTTGTTTGCTGAGGTTGGGCTGGTTTCTGTTGCTCTGGGACAATGTCTTTCCCTTGCCTCCTTTGCAACTCATCTGTGTACCGTCTTGTGTCAGACGTGTTCCGTAGCTTGTTATTAGTGTCTTGCGCGACTAAGGAGAAGAGTTTGCGCCTGCGTCTCTGAGCATAATCATCAAAATCATCACCATAGTCTGGAAAGATTGCGTTATCAACCTGGTCCCGTCCCGCTTCCTTTTCTCTTTGATAGGTTTCATTGTTAAAGTAATCTTCCTCAACTTGCTCCGATTTTCTTCTTTGGAAGCCAAAATCTAACAGAAAACGAGAGTGTTATAGACTGACAATACAAGTAACTTACATTTTTTTTAAATTAAAAAATTAAAAAGACCTTGTCCTATGTTTCCTGTTTCCTGCATATCAGGTCGGTCTAGTCTCATGTATCTGGAGAAACCAAACCTAGAGACAACACACATAATCAGGCAGAGATTAATAATAAATTAATTGGCCTGATGTTAGATTAAGATCACAAATCACTGTATTGCTTGAACTGAATCTCTTTTAAAAAATAATAAATAAAACCCTTTCATGTTGTGATGTGAACACTGAACAGCACCCTCTGTTGATCATACTGTAAATCTATTTTAATTATTCTCTGTCCCACAGTTTGCATTTCATTTAGTACAGAATGACACACAAGTGTTACAACATATGGATCATGTTAATGCATGGAGTCTTACATCTTCATGTAGTAGGGACTTTCGGGGTAGAAGCAGCTGTTCTCTGCCTCCATGTGTGTAAGTCGGGTGTAGTCATTGGGGAAGATGTAGGACATGTGGACCTGGGAAGAATAAAAGACACTGTTAAAGCTATGAGAGCTTGCTGATAAATCAGGGGATCTTGTATTAAGGAATGTCAGAGGGATGCAACAGGTTTGTGCAGAGTTTAGACAATAACAGAACTGCATGCGTTTCTTTTTCTCAGCAGATTTCAGAAAATATATTAAGTAAGGTGCATATTCAAATAATCTCCAAACTAAAATAGTTTTGTTGAGGTGAGGAGGTCAATATCACTCTCATATAAAACTGCTTCTACATCCTAACTGCTTAACATAAAAGCTGCGTCTCAATTCAACAGCCAAATCCTTCAAAGTATGCATTTTAATGCCGAATACATTACAGCGTCTGTTCCATCTTTAAAAGCTCCCTTAATGTCTGAGTTTTTTATGAGAAGGATCCAAAGGCTGGATGGTTCAAGACCAAACATATCCCAAAATGTATTGCATTTTAAAATGGCATTCCCAAATGAACTGGGAACAACAGCCTTGAGGGAAAACAGAGTGACACTGCTGACCTGGCTCTTTTCAAAAGCATTTAAAACAAATTAAAGGTCACTAGTTTACACGATGTATCATACCAAAGTGTCAAATCAACATATTGTGTGCTATCAGGGGTTATGCGCAGGAGTATTTCTTTGTTGGCCAGTAACATCCTCGTGTCTTGTTGTCACTAGGAGGTTGCTGGGCAACCAGCACAGACTTCAGGAAGTCAGCTCAAAGTGACGAATAATCAGGTTGAGGTTAAAGGATCAACTGAGGGAATCAGAGGCCATGCTACTATGTGAGACGCTTTCCAATCGATGCAGCATGTCTTCATCATCTTTAAACTAGTTCTCCGAGGGCATTATATACTGCCATCATTTAGATTCCTGCTTAGAAGGAACACATATTTAAACAAAATAAGAGTTCTATGAAAGATGGAAAAAACGTCCTGTATAACTCTGGAGCAGGAAGAAAGAAACACTGTGTCCTCAATGTAATCCTCATCTGTATTCAGGCCTTTTTTGTGTGAATATTGAGCTCTGAAGAATATTGTGGGTGTAAATTAACAAACTTTATAAATACATACAAACTGCAGTCCTTGATAGCGGAGGAGAGGAAAGTCTTTTATTATGTAGCTGGGCTTGTACGAGCAGTCAGGAAGGACACCTTGTAGGAACTTGTTGTCTAGCAAAGGCACTGCAAAACACACACAACACATTTGAGATAAGAATACTTTGAATTGAGTGGGAGGATATAAGCTGCACAGTACTTGTAATTGAAGAGTCGGAAATGGAAGATGAGGTCATTTATCTGCTGTGTGGTAAAGAAAGAGGCCAACAGTGAGACGTCTCTCACCTTGGTAGAAAGAGTCTCGTGGGTCTTCCCTCAGCATGTCTGCTGCATCTTTCTGCTGTTCTGTGGAGGTGTGCTGGTGGCTTGCAGCCGTCTGTGGTATGTGGGCTACGTCACTCATTAACAAGGCAGACTCATCTGTGGGACAAATCACATGACATGACAGTAAGAGCTGTACTTACGTTGCAACAAAACCACTGACTTGACATGTGAGATGGAGACCCCCCCCCCTGAGCTCTAGACAAAGACAGATTTACTGAGTGATGCATTGTTTAAACAGCAGGATTGATGTATGGGTTTTCTTTGTACTTACTAACGTAGAGGGAGATGTGATGGGATTCAATAACCTTGAAACGAGAGCCTTGGTCAAGGAGCTGCCACTGTGTGAAACCAACACAAAGAACTGCATGTTTCTTCCCATTTATGACTCATATTGCACAGGAAATAGACCTAATATGGCTATTAGGAACAAGTAAATAAGACAAATAAAGAAAGGAGGGGATATTTTCGATGACTTACTGCCACCTCCACATGGTCAGTCCCTCTGTGGTTTTGCTTGTGGATGACTTCAAAAAAGTACCTTCTTTGAGCAGACAGCCTGTCAGACAGTAAAGGGTCATATTAAGAAGTACACTATATTAGTCACATCTGACAGAACCTAAACTGTTCCTAAATAGAAACACAATCAATTAGCTTTTAGTTAAGTATGTGTGTGGGCTCCTAAGTAGTTTATTTTATGTTATACTGTTAAAGGATTCTTTACCTAATCAAATGGCCTAAGGAAATGCTGTACATTTTGCCGAGCTCCTTGGGGCAAATGTGTGATATTGAGCTGTATAAATAAAGTTGATTTGATACATAAAGAAATGCTGCAGCTCCCACGGTCAGATAAACATCAGTTCACCAGTATATTTTCCTCTGCAGCCTCTTCAAGCCGATCAAGCAGATATATATATTTTTTTTTCTTAGGTTTATTTTGGGTACTACACAGTTTGTTTTCTCTGAACATATTATTTCTGCAATCTTAAGCTCATCTCATTGAAGCGGACACTTGTGGCAGAACAGGCTCTTGTTGATGTCAAGTCAACCAACAAAAGTAGTCATCATGTAGCCTACTAAATATCCTGCCTGGTTCCAGTTAACTCCACCCACACAGCCTGAAAAGAAACGGCACCATGTAAGCAAATATTTCCATGAAGTAGCAACAACTGTAGGTTGAATTCTCAGAAGTGCATATACATTTTTAAGCAGAAATGCTTACGCATGGGTTCTTTGACGTAAACTGCTTACGTTAAGGCATTGGTTTAATGTTCTGGCATAAGTTCTACACTTTTACAAAAAGAAGACTTGGCAATGTTGATTTTTGATTTAGCTTGTGTTGTTTTATGTATGTTTTGTAGAGGAAGAGTGACAAAAGACAAATGTTAATTCCCGTTTAACAGCGCACCAAATCACAATTCTATCCTTTATGTTGCCACTGTTCAATCTGATAAGACCACACTCACACAGCCCTGATGAAGCATGGCATTCATGTCTTGTAGAACTACTTAAGTTGTCTCCAACAATTGAGTTTTGCAGTCACGCAAAAAGTCTGTGTCATAACAGTTGTTCCTGTTTGCTGATTTTTTAACATAAAGGCCTGTGAAATATATTGTCAAAACTCACCAGAGTGGTTTGGAGGTCTGACTGGCATACTTCTCAAATTCACCTGGGGCTGTCCATTCTGTTCCAGTCTAGAGAAGAAAAGCCAACATGTAAACAAATATTACAGACAGTAAGGTTTGAGGAAAGGATCAACTGCTGCTTCAGAAGCTCACAGATTAGCATACCTTTCCAACCCATGCCAATGACTGCAAGTTATCGGGAGAGTCATCTGTGCTGAGCCAAAATTCTGAGTTGTCATCAGAGCTCAAAGCAAACACAAACTCTCCTGAGAGACAAGGAGAGAAAAAAAAGGAGATAAAGTAACTGATTAAGTAAAAGATAGAGTGATATGTATTGCGCACACATGTACATGCTAATAGACCGAAACTAGATGAAAAAGTACATGTTGTACCGTCAATGTAAGGATGTAGATAACCAAATATCCTGAGCCCGTAGTTGGTCCACTGAGGAGAGACGGCCAGCTTCTTAACTGTCGTCCTGGACTGAAAGGCGGAGGAAGGGGAAACACAAAGAGTCAGTCATGATGCTTACTCAAAGTGAGACTACATCTTGAGTCCAGGGACGTGAGGATTTAGCACGTGGATGTAGAATGCACCTCTGAGTGAAAACAAACCGTGTGTGTGTGTTTAAAAGTGCTTTAGTCCGAGTGAGTGCAGATGGTGACTTTGCACCATGAAAATACATTATTACAGTATATTTTCTACTGTTGAGTATAGTTTACATTGTTTTATCTTAATCTATTGTATATGTCTATACTTATTCCTGCTTGCACATATGTGTAAATTGCACTGATGTTTTGCATTAGTTTATGTCTTCTTCTTTATGTCTTAAGTATATTGTATGTTGCAATGTTGAATGAACTTGGGACTAAATATGATAAAACTAAGATGTAGTAATTGTCCTTCTGACAATTAAGCCTTTGAAAATGTAATCTTGAACATGCTAGTGTGGCTAACAGTTTAAACAATCAATTCAACATAACACATGTCAAATGAAGATAAGGTATTTACTCACATGAGGATACAGTGGGTAGTGCATGTTCTTGTGGAGGTCAGCTGTAGAACTGCCACACCAGTCCTCAAAAACATGCAGATTGGCCTGTCCCTTATACTGCAGGAAGGAAGACAGAGGACAGTGTTGGGACCACTTGTGTTTGTGCTGCAGTCAGTCAGCAGTGGGACAATTAACCATCTGGCTTCAGTACTTGGTAAACTAAAACCTACTAATACAGACTTCCTTGGATACCACTTAACAATACAATGACGTAACTGCTGATTCCAACAGTCACCTGATACCAACTACCCAACCCACTTTCTGAGTACAGACAAGCCTTGTTTAAAGGGTTTGTTTACCTACATTATAAAGCATTACCTCTAGTGGTAACTAGCTGTGAAGTTTTAGTTTATTTATTTGCTAGTGTTTTTTTTAAATAAAGGCTCCTATATTTCTGGAGTCTTCCCAACTGTATGACATTCAATGGAATGTGATCTGTGCTGCTCAATGCATTATATAATGTAAAAAAACAAATGTATTATTTCAGATTTATTTTGTGTTATTTTTCAGTGTACATAATACTAGATTTAATTATGGCGGAGGCAAACATCTCATATATACACTATATCTCAAAATCTATTCAAATAATGACACCAAATCTATTTGCATATCTGAGATTATCTGTTTGTAAATTATATTATACACAGGTGGGCTGGGGTTACAGGAATTATGTGACAGTGGAAACCGTTGTCTAATAGCGCTTCCCCGCCTCGAATCCAACAAAGCCATGAAACAATGGCACACACGCATACAAATAAAGAGGCAATGGAGGGGCCCGGATGTCCTGTAAACAAACACCTGTGTGACATCTGCCAAAGAGGCCATGTTATCTGATCTGTGTGTGCTGGTGGCAGCACAGAGGCAGAATAATGCAGGTAGGAGCCAAAGCCTCAGTATAGCAGTTCATCAGATTTCATTAGCAGTCCAGCTAAATGTTAAGCTGTCATCAGCACAGTAAGTTAAATATTAGCGTGACCCAGGCTCAGAGCTGCTTTCAATCATTTAACAACGTTGTTTCGTTCTGTTTTAATGTCTGTGATCAAAGGCCACTGAGCGGCTGTGGAAAACAATGCCTTCAAGCTAAAACTAATTTCATTCATGGATCTACCGCACCTTTTTAGCTTTCCTTCCCTTCTAAATCTGTGAAGGGTGTGACATTTAATGAACTTCCTTAATGGTATTGCTGTGTACTATCGTGAAAGCTTCACAATTGTGAGCAATTTCAGCTTTTCTTTTACTTGTGTGATTTAATAATGAATAGCTTTGTGTTTTAGAGTGTAAGTTGGACAAAACACTACAATTGAAGACGCTATCTTAGACTATAGAAAACTGAGAGAATACTTTTCCCACTTTTTATAGTCCAAACAATTGATCAGTTAATTGAGAACATTTCGGATGAATCAATGTTGACAACAACAACAAAAATCAATTAATTAAATAATACTTTATCAAGTTGGTGAGAAAATGCTTTTAGTTGAATTGTATTAATTTTCACACAAAGTAGAATTTTGATGGATATTACTGGGATAACTACTCTAGAATAAACATCATAAAAATCCAGGGCAGTTCACAAATATATTGTCATATCAGCCCGTTTAGTTTTAGTTTGGTTGTAACATTGATAGTTAATGAATCACCAGGTTTGAGGAGTTATAGAGAGTGAACAATTTCTCATCAGCGACTTGGCACCCACGCATACTGTAGGTGATCACTGGGGCTAATGCAGGTTTGCTTACTCTGGTGTGTGGAGCCAGACACAGCAACAGCCTCCCCTAAACATGAAACATGAGGTGCAAGCAACTGGCCGAAGCACAGCTCTGCTTAATATAGTGGAAACATGATGACAGAGCAATGGAAGCTGCTGAAGAACACCCTACTGGAGGAAACATACTGTACACAAAAGCAAATGAGCTGAGGTGGGAGAAAAGTGGGCAGGCCTGGGTAGGTTATTCAGAGTTCAAAAGAGGTGAGACAGAGGGTTTAAGCATGCAGCACTCTGGACCCGCTCACACAAACACACACACCTCTGGTTTCCAGATTCGTGGAGTGTAGCTGGCCCTCCAAGCAGTTGAATCCTCCACAGAGACTGGTTGATGGTCCCTTCTGACCTGAAAAACACACACGTTAAAGTCTGAGCCTGTTTTTCCTCTACCTCTCCATGCACAAACACATGGTACCAACGTATTTTCTATCATCATTTTTTCCCCCGCCACTAGACTTACCCTGTCGTCAAACATGGATCTCCTCCAGCTGCTGCTGTCAGGATTCATACCTGAGGAAATGATTCAAAACAATCAGCTAACAGACAAGTATGCATCGACTGTCCACAGATGGGTCCATTTGTCTTAAGAACTCTTATGATTGATGATTTAAATGTAATGTGGGATTTTCCAGGTTGTTATTCATATAAATATGAATTCACATTCAAACAAATGTATTCTAATCTATAAACTGTGTTTCTCTATCTGCTTCTTTTTCTTTTTTAGTTCAGGAAAATCAGTTTATTTACAGAGAGGGAGTGTGGAGAGGAGAAAGCATGAATGTACACGTAGGAAGAAAAACTCTTTCAAAGTACTTCTGTAAATAGCATAGCACAACCACGCCTTAAAATGACCTAACTGTGAAGGCCCCCCCCCATCACATTCAATATAAACTCTCTGGATGTCTGATAGCAGGTATACGTAGCCTATTTTAGGTATTACCAGATTTCGATTTTCTCCCTTTTTCATCCATTTATTATGGGCAAACAAAGGAGACCAGTGTCCCAAACGGAGTCCCACCCATCCACTCCCTGTTCCATTTCAATGCAGATGACCAGTGCATTTAACACATCTTACTCACAGCCTTCCATGAGCTGCTATGGTTTTACTTTGGTAAAACAGATGCAGAAATATTATTCCTTTTAACCTCTTCTGGCATCTTTCAAATTATAGGGTGGCGTGTATTTTAAAGAAGGACCTCTGTGTTTGGTTTTGTTTGAGCTTGTGGTGTCATTGAGTGAATTGCAGTCTGTCATTATCACTAGGGTGGAGATCTCCAAACACACACACCCTTGAGACATGTGGGACCATTTTGGCAACACACGTAATTCTAGAGTAGCGGTTAGGAAAAGCAAGTGAGGAATATTTTTATCTTCAGCTGCAGTCAGTCCTTTTACTTAGCCTTATACCGCTGCCTTTCTGTGACAATATTCGGAGGGATAATGCATTGGTTGAATTATTTTTCTTTTATGCCATCATCAAATTAAATAATTTCAAACTGGCTGTATGGCTTTGTTTGGTGGACTTCCTGACTCAAAGCTGAAATGTTACAGTTGATAAAAGAAAATGTTTGCAGGGCGACAGACTTTCAGCCTTTCGCACTTATTGTAAGTCGCTGTGGATAAAAGCGTCAGCTAAATGCAATGTAATGTAATGTTATACAGAATACATAAATTACATCTAAACAAGGAGATTGGAGGATTTTCATGTGGCTGTTGTATTATCATGACATTTTGGTCTGTGCGCTCTATTTTGTAGACTATATTCTACATTTGGTACATCTACCCTCCTGTTGCAGCCCAAACATTTTCTCTACTGGAATATTTGTTAGGGTTAGAAGGATTTTAGACACTGTTTCACTTGGTGGGAGTCTATGTAAAGCAAACAGTTAAGACAGTCAAATATGCAGTTCACAAATAGTAAAAGGTACCAGATATGGCATAAGTAGCATATTGCAGTCAGGGTCATGCCAAGCGTTTTTTTGCCAGGACACATTTGATCGGCTGGATTAAAGTATGTATCATTAACTCAAATACAGCTGTTACCAAAACGATTATCTAGAAATGATGGAGGATTGCCCATAGAGAGGATGACACCATAGAAATAAAATCACCTGCCCACACAGGCAGCTTTTTCTCCATCAGGACATTTATTAACTGCAGCACTTCATAGGTTATCTATGTACTTAAGTGCCCATGTGACCTACATGTGGGAAAAACAAGCCGTCCCTTAAAGACCTATATCTGCAGAGCTGAGCCTGAGATCACACCTATAGCAGTGACAGTCTCACCCTTTCAGTTTCAGTCAGGGGACCCTATACTACAGTTTAATGACGACATGGACGGAAACTGTACTTTTGACCTCTTTGATCCTCATTTCCTGATTATAACATATTGGTGTGTGTGTGCAGAATGTAGCGTAGCGTTGAAATAAGGTGTTTAGTGACGTATTACACATAAACAGTAATGCTTCATGCAATACTACATATATTTCTTTGTAAGCACAATATCTAATCTGATATAAAGATGTCATAATCATTTTAGATATTTTGAGAACAATATGTTGATCGAATCACTATAGGTAAGCAAGACAGCCTTTTCTTCTTTACATGTGTTGTTTAAGGGTGACAGATATTTAAAAACTGCTGCTTAATTTGAATAAAGGTGAATACTCAAAAGTTTCAAGCTGTGTTAACCAAAAAGGTGTATAGCTCCCTGCAACAGAAGTTGCATGATCAGATTAGGGACAGCTTCCAGCATGTGTCAAGTTGAAATAGCTATCTATATTTCATGACCAAAACTGCTGTGACAGAGGACTACTGATATTCTTGTCTTTATGATGGTGCTTGTGTCTTACTATGATTGTTGAACTTCAAAAAAGCCTGAGGACTGAAAAATCATCATAAGCAATTACACTCGCATTTAAGTGTCAGATAGAGTGTCTGGCATTTTCTTTTAACTGGAGCAACACATTACACATGCTATTTCCTCTCATCCTTTTCAAATAATATGACAAAAACGAGCCTATGTCTGATTATTGAGTGTACATAAAAAAGAATGTAACATAAAACAATCTTTAATGCTTAAGATTTACAAAAAAACGTTATATTGCAGCTTTTGACGCCTGTAAAAACGCTGACAGTATATTCTTATATCTCCTGTGATTTTTCCATTACACTTTTAGGTCTTCACTTTGGCCTTTCAGCTCTGTTTGGAGGCTATATGTGGTCCTTAACAGAAGTCCCACTGTGTTGAAGGGGCTACAGCCCAGGAATGTGTAGATAGGCGAGCCCTGTAATGTAGGTCTGAGGCATGTGTTTACACGTCAGCCGTTTGTTCAAAGTGTGTGTTTCATGTGTTGTTACTTCTCTCTTGTGGGCAGACACCAACCTGACTATTTTCACTGTTTTCATCTCCAATTCTGCCAGGGCGGTGACACCCTTATGTTATACTTGGGTGTGAGTACAATGCAACAGATGGCAAACGCAGGCGTAAATAAGGTAAAGGGCAGGAAGTTGGATTACCAAGTGTGAGACGAGACTTCCTTCTGTTCTGAGTGTAAACCTGCAATCTGACCTACCCTCCCCCCCCCCCCCCCCCCTCCCTTGCTCTTTCCCCTGCTCTTAAAACACACACACTGCTCCATCTCTTTAAATCGACCTGTTGTCTCACCTGCTCTAGGCTCGTGTTCCCTGTGCAACAATCCAGCATGATTAAAGAAAGGTAAAAGTATATGTAAAGTGTATTCCTGTTAATGCTCACATAGTGACTCCTACAACAAATGAAAAGTATTGTAATCCAATACAACTGCAATGAATAGTCCTTTTGTTAGTTAGTTAAAACTTTATTGTGCACAGACAGTGCACATCATGGAAACATGTTTTGTCTTTGGCTTCACCACACATCATTTAAAATATGTTGCTTAATATGTGTCAGAAAGGTGATGATTAATCTCTGTGGTTATTTATCCAGCGGCACTTTGTTGTGTTGATGAACTGCAGTTTACTGTAGGTTTTTTTAAGATTAATGCTATATCCACAATTAGAAATTAGGTGGTTCAAATATATATGTTTTAATTGCAGTCCTATCACTATAAAAGTACAGCTTCAAATGTGAGACAATGAAATGAATGAAAACAAAGTAAGAAGTAAGGAAGGAAGTGAGAAAATACTGTTGCATCGGTTCTTTAGAAGTTGCACAATTTTTACCTATTGCTGCGTGACCCCTTCATTTTTCCTGCAGCCAGATCTTTCTGCAAACTTTTTCATGCACATGCTCACTTTCCATTGTTATGCTGTTGTATCAGTAACACGTTGTTTGTTAGATCCAAGCCCAGTGTGAATTATGCATCACTTAAAAAAATAACACTTGTTGAGTCAGACCTGTCGTAACCGGCGACCACAGACTTACTGGTATCACTGCTCCAAGCTTTTGCAGCCACCATCTCATGGTACACTGCCACAACTCCGACCAGCAGAATCGCCCAGAACAGAAGATATTTGCCATTGCGCCGCAGTTTCTTCAGGGGAAAAACGCTGCGAACATCTTGTCTCTCATGCGAAAGCTCCTCCCGAGTTATTCATCGGTGGGGTCACCCGCTTTGTCATCAGGAGGGGACCGACCCCGCCGCAAGCCCGTCCGCCTGCCCGCCACCCACCGCTGCTCCTGCGGGTGCGCACTATCGGCGCCCTGGATGTCCCCTATGCGCGCGGTCCCTGGTGCTTCTCATCCCGCGAAAACTCCCACCATGACTTTAGGCAGCCGGTAATCCCCACTGTGAACTCTCTATCATCAGAAAAGTAGCTCCGGCTAGTCAAGCATTTCAGTGCACGTGAAGCCGCACGAACAACGGAGTGAGCAGTGAAATCTCACATTAGCATTTACTCCACACAATTTCATGACAGGACAGACAGCAGATGCCCGAAAGCCGATCGGAACAGAGACAGTGCGGCCTTCAAAGTAAAAGCACTGTTAAATCAGAGTAGTGATAAATAAAGAATTGATGCTGGCATGGCCTCATAGTCGAGTTATTGTCTTTAATGTACTTTACATTACCGGTAACATTTAATAATTTCATTCACATTTTAGTTATCTGTTTCTCACTTCAAAATAAGTGTCACTGTGTGGTTTATTTTGAAATATGATCATACCGGAAATACTTTTATTGTAGTTAGTTTGACACTACTCGCTCTGGGATTAAAGGGAGGAGTGAACATGGGCAGCACCCACCCATCACCCTTCTCCTCGGGATTTACCTGTGACAGGTAGGACAGGTTTTCCCTTCAGTGTTTCAACAAAAAGTGATGGAGATACCTATATGTAGCCTCACATTGTTATTATTTTTATAAGAATTATTCTCAAGAAGAACCCATTCGTTGCACAGCACTTTGTCCACTGGGCTGTTAGTTAATTGTATTAGTTCACAATAAAGCTAAACAATAATTATGAAACTATAAACAAAACACCCATATTAGTAGAAATGGACATTAAACACGAACTAATGCACATGTGTTGCAAGTGAGAGTTTATAGAAAGGTATAGTTTGTGTCAGGTTATTGTAATATACTACTAACCTGAACAAAAGTGAATACAAATACAGTTTAATCAAATATGCAAAATAGTAAATAGAGCAATTATATAATTACAGCTGGCCCACATATAATCTCTAAGTGCATAAAAGTTATATGTGGATGCATTGTTTAATCTGTTTGGTAGAAATCCATTTTATTGAACAAAATGAATGCTTTTCTAATTAAATGGTGGTTTATTTGTCCGCTGCGAGGCAAGCATACAAAGAACAAAAGAAGATGGCTACTGCTGCTGAGAAAAATAAACACCCTCCCAGGTGATTCCACCCTCCCTTTATCAACCTCTGATAATAGTATCTTTGTCACAAAATAAAATCCTATCAAAAAACATCTATCCTTCAATACATCAAATACAATAAAAGGAAAATGAATAGCTCTTTTACTGTATCATCTACCTGTAGAGAACAAGCGATGCTGGGCAGTAATCACACCGCAGAATCCCATTCGTAAACTGACACCGGTGAGAGAGCTGGAGGATCAGATCAGATCATGTTTGTCCTCGGGAAAGAAGACTCTGACCTTTGACAGCTGCACTTTTGAAAAATATCTTAGAATAATTTTATCTTAGAATAATTAGCAAAATACACAAAAGCCTTCAAAATATAAATGCTTCCATGTTGTTAACATTTAATTAAATATATTTTTTGGACAGTGCAATTGTTTTTGGTATTTCTCCTTTGCAGAAAACATATTTAGGCCTGCCTCTATAAAATATGTTCTCCTGCAGTCAATCTGTTTGTTTTTTCTTGTGTGTTCAATAAAATATTAGAAAAGATCCATTACTATACACAATTCACTGATATAAGAACATTTTATTTACGTAATCTGAACAGCAGTTAAAAATCCAAAGAAATTAAAATGTATGAAAATAAATTAAAATTCATGATTTCACTATCAAACCTGCAACTGATTATTCAAACATCAACTTGAATATAAACGGATGTGGTGGTAAAGCACCTTTTAACACTAGACCTTCTGTATGAATATGTCACACATCATGGAGTATAGGATTGGCTGAATGTTTGCTCCTTTGAAATACTTTCAGAAGATTTCTTAATAACATTGACACATTTCTCATAGTTTTCAACTGGCAAAACAATTTGTTTCCTCACTAAATTTGATTTTCAATCAGAGGGGTGAAATCAGTAGGCTACTGCACTGTTACTGAAACTGAGAAACATACGTTTGGTGTAAGTGTCCAGGGGCCTCATTTATAAAGGGATATACGCTCAAAAGATGGCGTACGCCCGTTTCTACGCAATGTTTGCGATTTATAAAATACTAATTTGACGGGAAAATGTGCGGTCCTCCACGCAAACTCTAACCCAGTGGTTCCCAAACGGTGTGCCGTGGCACACTGGTGTGCCGTGAGGCAAGTCCGGGTGTGCCCTGGGATTTTGTGACAACCATACGTTATTATTGCAATATACAACTACACAAAAATAATAATTTTTTTATTTACTATATCAGTACTTTGTAGGTTTATATGTACGTAATCTGCGCGACTTGTGCGTCCACATCTCCACGTGCAGTGCTGCATAAACATGGCTGTCAGCGATAACTTTCGAGGGGTGGAGGTATGCCCATTACTTTGAGTTCGTCCGAAGAATAGACAGGAATGTGACGGTGAGGTGCAAACTGTGTCCAGGCCAGAAGCTGTTATCCACTGCTGTAAACACCACGTCAAACCTCAACAAGCACCTGCAAAGAACACATGTTAACGTGAAGCTAACGCACACGCTATTTGTTGTTTGTTTATGGAGAGGCGAAGTCCCTCCCCTTCCGAAAGCCTCCATGGGACCCCGGAAGCGGAAAATTATACATTTAAGTCAATGGAGAGAGAAAGGTTATCTTTTGATCCCGTTTGAATTGTGCTACGAATGACACATATGATGTTTGTCCATTTAAAAGAACATTTTGCAAGTCAAAAAAATAAAAATGTGTCGTAAAACTGTGAAGTTACACATTTTTTTGTGTGAAACCGCTCAGTGAACTACAGGTCTCTGGTCTCGCACAATACGCGTCACCAACATAAAGATGGCCGTCACGTTAGCACATTTCACCACATTCTTTCAGAATGAGAATAACATTATTTTACGAGGTGAAAATCACTACAAGTCTGGGCACGTTGAGAGCCAGCATGCGGGACCGGCTTTACAAGGTTTCGGTGAGTAATATGAGTGCAATGTTTAACGTTAATGTCAGCTAGCTAACATTAGCTAACAAGGTACACTAACGTGTTTTGTTTTAGCAACTAGTTTTCTCCTTAAGAACTTCGTGGTCTCTGTGTATGCTGTGGATAACATTAGTGTTCACAAGAACAAGGTACACTCCCGTGTTTTGTTTTAGTTGCTCTTCAGATTGAAGCGGCCAGTTTTATATCGACTATACTGTATGTGTGATCTCCTTTTTCTCGTTGTGTCATTTGAGTTTATTTGCTGTGTGTAGATTCAAGGATTTTGGTTATCTAGGCACAGCTGTGTGTGACTCCCTCTGGTACACCGGTATGTGTTTTCCTAATGTAGAGAGCATTGATTAATTAATAAACTACACACTGAGTCTAGATCCTGACCAAATCCTTTTTTATTGTTGATCAAATGTTTTTCAAAAATGTATTCATACACATTTAGAAAAATACAATGTACAATCACAACCAATACAACATAAATTACAAAAAATACAGAAAAAACAAACAATAACAACAGACAAGAGGACAACACTATGGACAAATAAACCCTCCCACCCCCAGATCCGGACCATCCTTGTATTATTGCTCATTCAATCTATTATAGCATGCTAACAAATGGTTCTTACTTTATTTTTACAGATCTGCATGGGAGACGATGGCGCGATGCAGAGCGCTGTCTGTGATTGTGCACAGGGGATGTACAAATGCAGCCACGCTGCAGCATTGGCAATATTTGCCATGTGGCAGATCAGCTCCACAGATGTTGAGTGCCAGTGGAGGAAGCCTGGCACTTAAAAAGTAATCCAGCCGGTGTCTCAACTTTACCAACAGCGAGAGGAGACATACAACCCACTGGCCAGAGACATCGCCAACTGTCAACTGGGGGGTTGTAAACGAAGCCGAAGGGGTGAAGGCTTTTGTGGAGGCTTTTGTGGAGGCCTATCAAGTGACAGTGTTCGAATCGAGTCTGGTCTCTTTGTGAGTGAGTCGGGTGTTTTGGGAGCATCACCCGATGGACTTGTGCAGCCATCTGCCCTGCTGGAGGTGAAGTGTCCACACAGCCAGAGGAACATGACCATCGCAGAGGCAGTCCAGTTACCATCCTTCTGTCTCCGTGAGGAGGGTGGGTCATATATTCTCAAAGAGAATCACCCATACTGGCACCAGGTCCAAGGGCAGCTGCATATCACAGACCGGAGTCTCTGCTACTTTGTTGTGTGGACCACGAAGGAGGCGATCATCATCCCCATCCCCAAAGACCCTGCATGGCATGGAAAACTCCTCCTCCTGGAACAATTCTACACCCAGCATATGCTCCCTGTGTTGGCCAGTAGAGAGGAGGACATTTCAATAAACATACTCTTAACACCCTCGGACTCTGCGTTGTGTTTCGTATGTGTGATGGGGTGTTATGCAGGGGGGAGGAAAACAGGACACAGCAGATTGGGATTGTGGTGGAGATGCTGAGCAGTTATTTAATTGTTGCATGTAATTATTATTATACTGCGTGCTTCTGAGTTATTCCATCTTTTGCTGTAACATGGATCTGTATGTAACTCTATATTTACTTGTTATCTAACACACTTCCTTCTACATCATACACCATCATTATACATAGGATATATATATTTGTATACATATCTGTAAAATGTATAATTTTATTTAAACGTCTTTTTGATCTCTCAAACTGAGTAAGATTGACAATAAAGTTGACTTTGAAAAATATATATATATTCTTTATGAAAATAGTTGACTGTTGTCAAATGAATCCAAATGAAACGTTGGATTGAACTACAACTACGCCTTTAAATCTCTACGGACTGTTTTTCAGTGGGATGGCAAGTTCCTATCTTTAAACATTTATTAGTTTTTTCTCAGAACAGATTTGATTTTCTGAAGTTAATTTAACTTTGCCGACCATGTAAGGTCATCATTAAAAGGTACAATCAATTTGTTTATGGTTGACTAAAATAATGAAAAACATTCATTTGGATAATTTACTGACAGAATAAGAAACTCAATGATGCTCTACTCACCTGTTCCTTTTTTACAAAGTGAAACAGTTGAAACGATAGATTTTAGTAAACTTAAAAAC